GGCTTGTGTTTACCACTAAGGAACGCCAAGTTTTGCATGCACGTGAGGCCATTTTGCCTGATCCAGTTGGAGACCAAGTTCACTTGCAACTGGAGGAAGCAGAAGCTGGCTCCAAACCTCCTCGCCGCCTTCATGGCAAGCAGCCTATGCCTGGACATCAACCAATGCGGGTGCCTCTGCCAGAAATGCCACGGGATGACCGTGGGGGGGAGTCCTCTTTGGTTTTTGATGGTTTTGATGGTTCAAAGGGTTGTGAAAAAGGGGTTGAACATGTGCATGAAAACCCAGAAGGGGAAAAAGATGAGATCGACCGATGTTTTGAAGAACTGATGAATAAAGAATTGAAAAAATTGGGCTCCACCACCAATGCCAAGTGAATAACCCCAAAACCCTGAAAATGATGATGTGGGGGAATACCAAAAACGGGTTGTGGTCAAAACGGAAACCTTGGATACCCTTGAAAAGCAGTTGGGATGGATGCATGAAAATGTGGTTGATTCTCTTCATGACTTGTTGGATGTTGTCCCCTCAAATGAATATCTGGGAAACTTGTGTGGGTCACGAATCGACTGGTTGCAAACTGAACGGGAATGGTTGGAACGGGATCTCATAACCCTCAAAAAGGCCAAGGAAAACCATGTGGTTCATGTGTGTGGCATGCAACTTGAAAATGGGGAATTGGCAGGTCAGGGGGAGGTTCTTCAAACCACCACCATACCCCTAAATGATGTTCGAAAAGAACTTCCGTTGTGGAAAGAAGCCATGCTGAAGGAATATAACAGCCTGGTTCATGAAACGAAAGCCATTGAACCTGTTGATTTGTCAATGTTGGACCAAGAAAATGTTGAGTTTGTCCCCGGAAAGTTAGTCACTGTTCGAAAAGCGGGTCCAAATGGGGGAAAGAAAAAGTGCCGCGCCGTAGTTTGTGGCAACATGCTCAGCAGCGACTTGGATCCAGCTCCAGGGAGTCTCTATGCTTCAGGGGCTGATGGAATTCTCATTCGGGCAACACTGGCTCACTCGGTCGAAATGGATTGGGGCATTGGATTGGCTGATGTTCGCACAGCATTCCTCCTTGCACCTCGACCGAAACCTGTGGAAACACGGGAGGTTATTGTTGTGCCACCAAAAATCATGGTTGAAGCTCAGGTGTGTAAACCCACGGAAAGATGGAGGGTTCACAATGCGTTATATGGATTTGGCACGTCACCAGCGCATTGGGCTGTCCACAGGGATAACACCATGTCGGGTTTCAAATGGGATCTTGGTGAAAGGCACTTGTACCTCAAAAAAAAACCCGAAGGGAATTTGTGGAAAATCATGCAACAGGGTTCAAATGGTTGTGTGGATGTTTGTGTTGGTCACGTTTTGGTTTATGTTGATGACATCATGGCACTTGCAAAGGATGATGTGAGAAAATCGTTTTTTGATCGCTTGCAACAAGAATGGAAATGCAGTGATGTTGAAACGGTTGACCAGAACAATTGGGTGCGTTTTTGTGGGTTCGAACTGAAAAGGTATGGGGATGGGGTTAGCTTGATGGTTGGCCAAAAAAGCTATACCGCTGAACTGTTAAAGAGACATGATGGTGTTACCCCCAAAACATGTCCCATGCTGAAGTCCGAACATGAAGAACCCCTTGAAGAAAACCTTACCACCGAAGACATAAGGGCTGCTCAGGCGATCACGGGAGAACTCCTTTGGTTAGCAGGCAGGAGTAGACCCGACTTGTCATATGTGGTAGGTGCCATGGGTCGTCAAGTGTCAAAAAGACCAAAGTGGGTTCAAAAGGTAGGAGACCATGTCTTAGGGTTTTTGAGCACAACACAGGACACATGCCTGGTGTACCGCCCTTGCAACAAGGATCACGGTGCTTTAGGTACTCTCCAGGTACCCCGGCATGGACGTTTGCTGGAAGCCTTTGCAGACATCTCCTTCGCTCCGAATGGCGATCGAAGTCACCAAGGTATCATCATTTGCGCTGCTGGATCACCAATTCAGTGGGAAGCCTCTCGGCAAGCATTTCATACCATGAGCACAGCGGAAGCTGAGTTGGTAGGTTATTGTGAAGCTGCCACCATGTTGAAATCAGTTGAGGCTCTCATGAAGGTCATTCACATGTCATGTCCAAGTGATGGTTTGGTTGACGGTTCGCATGTTGACAACAGTTCTGAAAAAGTGGTTTATGGGGATAATTCCAGCGCTTTGAGCATCCTAATGAATCCGGATGGGGGGTGGAGAACAAGGCATTTACGTCTTAGATCCTCATGTCTCCGGGAACTTTTAAGGGATGACCCTCAAAACTGGAAGGTTCGACACCAACGGGGAATCGACTTGCCTGCTGATATGTTGACCAAACCCATAGTGTTGCAAAGGGAATGGATCAAGTTTTGGCATTTGTTGGGTTTTCATGTTGACCCCGAAATCCCAAAATATGGTGAAGATAGCCCCAAAACCAAAACTAAAAACAAACCTGCCGTGCCGAGCCCTGCTTCAGGAATTGAAAGCACTAAGGAAAAAGCTGAGGAAAATGATGATGACCTCACCGTGAAGAAGGTCAAAGCACTGGTTTGCATTGCTGCGCTGTCTACGGCTGCTATGGCGAAGTGCTATGCAGCTGACCTGCGGCTGAAGTGCGCTAACCTGGTGCTGGAGCTGGCGAAGTGGCTTGTTGCTGTCTGGCATTCTCCACCTTCAAACGAAGGTTCGCCCAAAGAGGCCTGTTCAAATGAAGGGTGGGAGGTGGAAGAAACATCAAGAGCCATTGGCCAGAAGAAAGTCCAAAAAGCCAGGGGACACGAACCGGCTGCAACAAATCTTCCAAGGGAAAATGAACCTGGAAGATCAACCCTGAAAAATGAAACCTTGAAATGTGTGGAAGTTCCAAGGGAAAACGAACCTGGAGACAACAAGCTTGGGGAGTTTTGGGAACCCTCAAATGAAGTTTGTTGGGATCACCGTGAATACCATACCCCTCAAGAGTTTTGGGATTGTAACCCTGAAGATGAATTTGGGGATTGCGTGGCGTGGCACTCTTGTGGACAGGCGCAACATGTTTTGGAGTCCGTTGGTTGTGACTCTCCAGTTGAAAAGCATGACGTCAGTTCACGGCCACTGTTGGCCGTTAAGGACCACTGCCCCACGGGCTGCCCCAGTCGTAGTTTGGTCAAACTCGCAGCCATGGCGCCGAAGATGTCCAAGCCGAAGCCTCCTGTGCCTCCGCAAGTGCTTGGGCCTCCAGCTGCTGCTGCCGCTGCGCCGCCTGCTGCTGTTGGGCCAAAACGAAAAGCTCCACCGCTGATGCTGCTGTGTGCGTCGGCTATGGGAGATGCTGCCAGTTCTGCGGGTCGTCCAAAGCAAGACCCCTACATCGGCACTTTGCCGAAGTTCCCGCCTGCGAGAAGGGAGGCTGAAAAAGCCCAGAAAAAATCTGGGGGTACGGGGCTAGATGAAATGCCTCAACATGGACCTTGGTTGGATGAAAAATACCGACAGCCAAATACAACTGGAAAAAAGGACTCTTGGTCCGTTGCAAAATGTGGAAATGAGATCTTCTTGGTGAAGGTCCATAGAGCGCCTCGAAAACAGCGCTTCCACCCACTGCACCGCTCAGCACCTGTTGAGGCGAAGTTTTTGACAGGTGAGAGGGTTACCAAGGCCTTTTTCCTGAACCCTGCAGATGATGGTCCGGGATTTTTGGTCTCCGACAGATGGGACAATCCCGTTGTCCGGTCCGAAGCAAAATGGACTGGGTACACTTTCCTCACCATGAGGAACGAAGCTTTGGAAGGTCTGAAAATACAGCTGGAACCAGCTGATACCGCTGATGGACCTCCGTGGCCTGCTGCTCCCCCTGCAAAGGAGGACGACATGGATGTGCACGTGGGGCTCCACAGTGAAATGTTGACACCCAGGCGCCATAGACCCAATCGGGAGCCAGGTTTGGTCGTCGGCCGTTTGTACCTGGATGGATGCTTGGCTTCAAGTGGAACTGGGACTTTGTCAAGTGCTGAGTCTCAGGAAACAAGGCTGGTCCCGGTGCATGACCCGACCAGCCAGTACAACAAGACTTCAGGAACTACCTCAGTGGGGTACAATCGTGGTGGTGGCGGCATCATTCGACGTGGTGTTGCTGCTCTGGAGCCGGCCTCTTCGAGCTCTGGATATGACCCAAAGCTCCCCAGGTCCTATTTACCTCTGACCGAGGATTGGGACGTACCGCTGGTAGAATGGGCTCTGGTCTCTGATGATGAAGAAGAAGAAGATGAAAACCTCAACAATGAGGACGAAGAGCTTGCGTCTTGAAGACCTGGCTTCATGCTGCTGGAGCTCTACTGAGGGCCCGAGGCTTAGTTTTGAATGTTTTCCTGTGCTGCAGTGACCTGCAGGGGGGAGTGTGGTTCAGTTGATCGAGCCATAACTCCATTTGCAGTCATGTGTGGTCAAAAGACCATAAGGTTTAAAAGATGGATGGCATGCAACATGGCATGGCCACCTGCGCAAAGAATACACGCCATTGAACAAATGGCTCAAGGTGCCTCTTGCAAAAAAGAGGGCACCAGCAGCTGCGAAGTTGCACCTGTGTGAAACCACGGAAAGAAAGCATTTGATTTTAAATGAACGCTCCGGTGAAGTACTAGCTTGTATATCAGGATGTCCCTTTAAATGGGCTTGCAGCCAGCTCGTGGGCACAACTGGGAACACAAACGCTTGACGGTGGGACTCCATCTACTTTCCAGGCCTCTTGCAAAGTCTTGGCCCTGGGTCACTGAACTCCTAAAATCAAATACAGCTACGAGTACCTGTTTGTGGAATTTGGTGGATTTATTCTTGGCCTTAGTTCGTACAGGGGAACAACTCTTTGGACAGGTATTGAAACAGCACGAAAATTCTTGCCCTATAGTAGGCTCTCATCTCGTATTCCAATATGTTTGTTGATTGTACACCCACATTTTGGGTCCGTGTTTGGTGTTTACATTCACTGACGTTCACCCAGCGTCTCAGAATCCTGAGGAATCCTTTGTCTTCCTTCTTGGCACACGAGCTCGTAGCGTTGCCTGTCAGCCAAAATCACACACCCTGGATCACCCTGGGTTAAATTGTATCAACTTGTTCAGTCTTGAGGTCCAAACATCTAACTCTTGCCGGCAACCCATACGTTGAAACCGCCCTCAAGCGCCTCTTGGCTGCCGGCTCCTCCGCCGAAGATAGACGCTTTCTCGAGCTTGATGACGCCGCTGCAGCTCTGGTTGCAGCTGCGGCTCTCTCAGCTCGAGCTCTTTCTTGCTCCTGCGAAGTTCCAAGAAAAAGCGTGGGAACATGTCGAAAAAATGTTTTGAGTTTTGACATGTTTTGATTACTTTGTGCATATTTTGTGCGTGCCGCTGCATGCCAATGCCCATGCTTTGGATGGCTGGAACTCATCTCTCGAAAAGAGTGGCCCAACGAGATGGCGACCCCAGTTGCTCCTCCGCCTTCTTCTGCGCCTTTGCCAGTTTTTCCTCGCGCTTTCGCAGCTGTGCAGCAGCGGCGCGCTGCTTTTTCTGTGCGGCTTCAATTGCCTTCTGCTGCTTGCGCTCTGCATCCCCCCTCAGCAAGCAGGGCTCGGGAACCAGGGACCTGGTAAACCAGGGCCCTCCATGATGCTCTCTGATATGAACTGATGATTCTCAACCATTTTGAGATAATTCGAGCTCACAGCAGGATGAACAGTCTTGAACCAAGTTGCAGCAGTTTCACAATATCTTTGTGTTCATCGAGTTCTTCAAGCTCCAGCATGTACTGCCGGGCTGTTCTTCCACGGTTGTCCTTGATGGAATTCTTGCAGCGCCACTCCACAAATGGCTCAGGAACGAACTCCGGCAAAAACAAACAACCGGCCCACCAATATTCCTTTGCACCTCTCCGACCCCAACACCATCAATCCGCTTGGAGGAATGAATGGCGCCAAGCATCTTTGATCAAGGCATCAGCCTTGTACTTTCCTAGTAGCAGATGCGTCACTGTGCATCCCCCATGCGCTGCAGCATAAAAAAGGCCTCGATCTCGATCGATGCAGATCACCCGGATCAGCTTTGCATGATTGAATACTTGAGAGAGGGAGGCCACAATGAATTTTCAGGGTCCACCAACGTCATGGACGAAACAGGCGAAAATTCAAAATAATCGAAAATTCAAAATGTATAACCTGCAGCACATCAAACACTATGTCAAGAAATACACATTCTGACAGGTTCTACATACACTCACTCTCGGCCACATATCTCTGATCGATTGTCTACCAACTCTAGTTGCCCTTGTCAACTGCAGCTGAGATGCATGTTTGTCCATATTCGTCTCGATGGTTGAGATCCACGTTGTGGGTCTCAAATAAGACCTATCACAAGACTTGCCAGTCCAAAGCGGGGCAGTGCAACCGCAAATCATTTCTGGAAGGATGGTAAGGAAACCTTGTTGGTGACATAGACCCAACCTCTTCCAAAGTCTGAGTCGATTAAGATAAGATGTTTTATGTTAAGCCAGCAATCAAAGACAATACGTTGGTGTCTACAATGGATTCAAGGTCCTCCACCAAGTTGTTTATTGTTTCAAAAGCATGCCGAGTGAAACCAAATCCGTCCCACCTTCACTTTCTCGACATCGCCACGCTTGGCAGCACCGAAAAGATTTGTTTGCCCTTTGGACAATATCCGGTTCGGATCCATGCCCAACTCCAACGCATACTTTAGAGCTGGGCCTGAGCACCCACGGAGGTCGAACAAGGAGCGGTATGGAGCCATCGATTGCTACCAGTGTTGATGATACGCCGTGTCTCAACATCTATGCACCTTTATACATGGTACTCAACTTCTTGGGTCCTTCCATCTTGATTGTCCAAATTTGTTTTGTTTGTAAAGGGGAGGACTACAAAGCTATGGAATACTGTGGGGCTGTCCTTTCAAAGATTCAAGGCTAAAGAACGTGCTCTTGGCTGTCCCAACATATGTGAAGTGCCATGGACTGCCAACCCTCAGCATCCTCATCCGCCAACACTGGGCCAACACAAAGGCTAAAATTGTCTGGCCTGTAGCGGAGGCAAAGATGTCACCTCCCATGTTGCTCAGCATATCTGTTGTCGCACCTTTCTGAACGAGGTGCTTCCTCAGTGCACCAAGGACTGCATAGCCACTTTTGCAGATTGCGTTAGTAGCCCCGATTCATGGCCATTTGCCCCAAAAAGTCATTCATATTTCCGTAGCAGGGCCTGTTCATGGTGTATCCCTGTGTGTAGAGTCACCCACATTGAAGATGGAAGTAGGGTGGACAAACTATCACTTTTTAAAGTATGGGCCGACCAAGAGGGAACCACGAAATACGACCTTTCCTGCAGACCCAGCGTCATCATTTGCACTTTTCCAGCTTCTGCTGCCCAGAAGATGGGCGTGAAGCCGTTCTGGTCCCTCGCATCGATTGCTGCGCCATGTTTCAGCAGCGCTTCAGTGGCACCAATCTCAGCTCGATAGCATCAAGAAGTTGGAGGACTTCAAGCAGAGATCCCCCAAACTCAACCCGGCAAAATATTCAATCATAAAGCAAAAGCACATGCAGAAACCAAGCAAGGATGTTTTTTGGTGCATCGCACATACTTGTTCCTTAAGCTGAGTCACATGGCCAGCCCGCACTGAATAAAATGCAGGCGTTTGCCCAGAGGTGTCAGTGTGGCTCACAGAACACCCCGATGCGATGAGGAACTCACACCTCAGCACATATTCTGACCACTGCGGGAATGGGCAAGATGTGGGGCAGGAAATGCAATCGATCACATTCAAGAGTACGGTCTCATCCAACAAACATTGATTTTCTGGACAGCCTGCAAGCATCCAACACGAGGAGATTCCCAAGGCCCTAGAATATTGGAGTCAAGCGGCAGCTGTGAGTGCCCGTGCTTCGCAGCGTAAAAACACGCATTCTGTTGGCGATTATCGATCACCGCGGCGGACACCCCATGCTGTTTAACCAGCAGCTCAGTGATCTGGCCAGAAACAGTGGTGGATCCCCAAATCAAACAGCGGCCACGCAACGGTTTCCCAAGGTTTTCGTCACCATACAGCCCCGATCCAAATCCAGCCTCAAATGCCTGCTGCCCACTGACATGTTGGGCCGCCTCGAAGAGCAGCGTCTGCCCAATTCGGTTCACCTGTGCAATGATTGATGTGATGGTGTCCCTGGGTCAACATGGGCACGAGGGATTCGGAACTCCCAACTTTCAATCGTGAAACTGGAATCGCAGTGGCCAATTGGCGGCCAACATACTCCAATTTGAAGGTGTCTGTGTGTGGGTGTGTGTGTGTGTGAGAGTGTGAGTGTGAGTGTGAGTGTGAGTGTGAGTGTGTGTGTGTGTGAGAGTGTGAGAGTGTGACTGTGACTGTGACTGCGAATCAGCGCAAACTTTTCTGCACCCGAGCAGCGAAACACACTGAGTAAATTGCAAGGCGAATGGGTGTGATGCTCTCAATGTTTAGCTTTGACACTAGAGAAGGCCTATGGATTGGAAAGGCATGTTGGACTTGGATGTGATGTCTTTATCTAACACTTCTGGGATTTCCACCTTGTCAAGTAAGTGCCGTTTCAAAGGGACAGTTTCATGGGTTGCCCCAGTTGTAGTGTCGCAGTGGTTGGAAAGAAGACAAGACACAGGAAAAGTCCCTCAAGGAGCTTGCGATAAAAAAAGTCAACAGCTCCTGTTACAGATGGTTTTATGTGGAAGCGTGTTACGCGTGCCACACGCATGTGGGTTGAAACCAGTCTACTACGAGCTGTTCCAATTGAAGTTCCACAGCACAAGTTCGGCCACTGGACTGTCACGATCCGTTTATCAACATGAAAACTTCCCTCCTACCCGCGCCATTTCAGTCAGTTGAAGCCTGCTTTGGGTTCGCCTTATGCTGGGCGACGAGATCGTCCACCACCTGTTTGGGGTGTTTGGGGTGCAACGAACAAAACACTGCCAAAAAGGGATCAGCCGAACCAAACAAAAAGAAGCTGAAACGAAAACTAATCCGAACAAATCAGAACAGCGTTGGTTTGACATGACCCCTGGCAATGCCTGAAAACTCTGCACAAAAAAAATCCTGCATTGGGAAGTCAGGCGTATCATCCTTCCTGCAATCTTGGCAAAGTCAAGCTATGTGCATCAATTTTTGAAACCTGCCCACTCATAGAGCGGCTACTTGGACCCCTCTAATTTACAACAGCAACGGAAATTGGCACATGGGCTGGCCATTCAACACAGCCATCCGAGTCTTGGGACTGTCTGACCCGCCTCAACCCAAACATCAAGCTGCCGGTTTACCACTGTCCCCCCTGCCCCACACCTTGACGGTGTGGCTTTTTACCGCCGCCCACAGCAGCTGGTCAACCAGCCTTTGAGCCTCATTGACAGATGGAAAAGCCATGGCTTGGATACGCCGGTCACTTGTTCGCGCCCAACTGCTAACCAGCCACGGGTCCAGACCCTGAGCTCACGAAGGCTACGGAAAAAAGAAGCGACCCAATCTCGGGCAAAACCATGGTTCGAAGTGGATATTCAAGCATTGCAACTTGCACCCTGTCCGGCAATTCTCTTCTTGAGAAACAAAGCTGGAGCAAGCGCCTGCGAAATGCAGTAAATGACAGAAATCAGCGTGCCAAAGTGGATCACAGGGGGATGACCCATGCAATTTATAAGTAGTTGGCAGGTGCGTAAACCACTCAAGTCATGGGAGTGGAAGTGTCTCTGAAGGTAATGATCTATTGGCGGACCAGCTTTCAAGTTCATTTATAAGGATTATTCAAAAAATCTTGACTGTGCGGTCCCATTGACTGGAAAGCTATGCATTCCTTGAAGTGAATGTGTAAGGTGCAGGGAAACCCGGGTGCACTGACCGTTTGCTGAGCAAACACTATCCCAGTTTTTGCCATAGAACACTGGTTTGGGTCCTGTACTGAGATTCAGACCAACTCATCATAACTCATCAGTGAGCCGGCCCGGACCAAGTAACTAGATTAAAGAAGCAGTTTGGAACAAAGTACGTCGCACTGCAAGTCAGGACCCAGCGGCGTGGTGTCGGGACAAAACCGTTTGAGTTTGACCACATGCACGCCATGAAACAGAAATCGCTTCTGCACTCAAGCAGCGGTACCATCTCGTGCGAGAGCTTGCAAGAATGGATGTGACTCATGACATGATGGTATCAAGTTTAGCTTTCACACCAATAGGAGCAGGAATTATATCGCGGCACTAGATTCACTAGATCCTGTTTTTTCCCTTTTCTTGTCCTTGGATATGCAACTTCTCAATTGTCGCTTCAAAATTCAAAACAAACAATTTCATCGGAGCCAGGTGCCGCAAAAAAACAATAAAGCCAGTTTCTGTCCGGCCTGATGCAGGTGTCAACAATTTCTTCAAGCCTATTGCTTTGTTGAGTCTCAAGTGTTCTGGTTACCCCCCAATGGTATTGTGGTGAAAACCCTGCCTACATCCATGTTGCTGCCAAAGCTAAAATGCCCGAAGGAGGTTGTTTCAAAAGTTGCTTCACAACTCCACTGTCAACATCCACCCTAGCGCGAAGTGTCCCTGCAAGGGCGGTGAAACAAAGATCCGAAGCTCGCATTCTGCTGAAGTACAGTCATTGGATCGCATCCGCATTGAAATCAGTTCACAGTTCAAATTCTGAAGAAGAATGCATCACGCCCAAAGAATTAAGAAAGGATGCGGACATGAAGAAACACAATTGAAATGTCTGGGAACGAATCTATTCCACATTGGGCTCGAATCGCCAGCAGTGAAGAGTCATAGGGCTGGCCAAAGGAGGTTGTTTCGCTGCTTCAACACTCCACTGTCAACATCCCCAGCACAAAGTGTCACTGTGACTGTGAAACAAAAATCAAACGATTGCATGAAATCCCGTGAGCAAATTTCCAATACTGAATGGATCCGCATAGAAATCAATTCGCTGTTCAAATTCTGAAGAAGAATGCATCATGCCAAAAGGATTAAGAAGGACTCTGACTCTGATCTGAAAAAAATATCATTGAAATGTCATCGAACGAATCGATTCCACATCATGCATACTTTAAGGAGACGTTCAATGCACAGCCCCATGGCCCCGTGACTCCTCAGCGGCGCTTCGGGCCCTGCAAAAATTGAGCTTGATCCACAAGCTCATGCCACTTGTCAGTGAATTTCCTTGGGATGGCAATGTGGGAAAGTCAACGAACTGTCCAAATGGATATTTGTCAAGTCTCCAATGAAATGGGCGAGTGCTGGCTCGGTTTGAAAGAAAGCATTTGATTTTAAATGAACGCTCCGGTGAAGTACTAGCTTGTATATCAGGATGTTCCTTTAAATGGGCTTGCAGCCAGCTCGTGGGCACAACTGGGAACACAAACGCTTGACGGTCAAACTCCATCTACTTTCCAGGCCTCTTGCAAAGTCTTGGCCCTGGGTCACTGAACTCCGAAAATCAAATACAGCTACGAGTACCTGTTTGTGGAATTTGGTGGATTTATTCTTGGCCTTAGTTCGTACACGGGAACAACTCTTTGGACAAGTATTGAAACAGCACGACAATTGTTGCCCTATAGTAGGCTCTCATCTCGTATTCCAATATGTTTGTTGATTGTACACCCACACATTTTGGGTCCGTGTTTAGTGTTTACATTCACTGATGTTCACCCAGCGTCTCAGAATCCTGAGGAATCCTTTGTCTTCCTTCTTGGCACACGAGCTCGTAGCGTTGCCTGTCAGCCAAAATCACACACTCTGGATCACCCTGGGTTAAATTGTATCAACTTGTTCTGTCTTGAGGTCCAAACATCTAACTCTTGCCGGCAACCCATACGTTGAAGCCGCCCTCAAGCGCCTCTTGGCTGCCGGCTCCTCCGCCGAAGATGGATGCTTTCTCGAGCTTGATGATGCCGCTGCAGCTCTGGTTGCAGCTGCGGCTCTCTCAGCTCGAGCTCTTTCTTGCTCCTGGGAAGTTCCAAGAAAAAGCGCGGGAACATGTCGAAAATTTGTTTTGACATGTTTTGATTACTTTGTGCATATTTTGTTGTGCGTGCCGCTGCATGCCAATGCCCATGCTTTGGATGGCTGGAACTCATCTCTCAAAAAGAGTGGCCCAACGAGATGGCGACCCCAGTTGCTCCTCTGCCTTCTTCTGGGCCTTTGCCAGTTTCCTTTTGTTTTTGCAATCGTGCAGCAGCGGCGCGCTGCTTTTTCAGGGCCTCCTGAATGGCCTTCTGCTGCTTCCGCTCCGCATCTGCCCTGTTGGGGCAAGCAAGCAGGGCTCAAGAACCATGGAGCTGGTAACCCGTGGGACCGAGGGCCCTCCATGATGCTCTCTGAGATTAATGGTTGCAAATTGATGACTTTTGAACCATTTTGCAGATTTTTGCAGCTCAGAAAAATGCAGCAATTCGATCTCAACAAAAATGAGCATTCTTGAACCAAGTTGCAGCAGCTTCACGACGTGTTTGTGTTCGTCTGTATTTTGCAGCTCCCGCACATACTGGAGCGCAGTTCTTCCACAGTTGTCCTTGCTTGCGGAAACATTGTGAGTTTTGGCACTCCTCCAACCTCAACACCATCGGCTTAACGGAATGAATAACGCCAAGCATCTTTGATCAAGGCATCAGCCTTGTACTTTACTAGTAGCAGATCTGTCACCTTGATTCCTCCATGCGCTGCGGCATAAAAAAGGCCTCGATCTCGGTCGATGCACGTCACCCGGATCAGCTTTGCATGATTGAATACTTGAGAGAGGGAGGCCACAATGAATTTTCAGGGTCCACCAACGTCATGGATGAAACAGGCGAAAGTTTAAAATAATCGAAAATTCAAACTGTATACCCTGCAGCACATCAAACACTGTGTCAAGAGACACCATTCTGACAGGTTCTACATACACTCACTCTCGGCCACATATCTCTGATCGATTGTCTACCAACTCTAGTTGCCCTTGTCAACTGCAGCTGAGACGCATGTTTGTCCATATTCGTCTCGATGGTTGAGATCTGCGTTGTGGGTCTCAAATAAGACCTATCACAAGACTTGCCAGTCCAAAGCGGGGCAGTGCAACCGCAAATCATTTCTGGAAGGATGGTAAGGAAACCTTGTTGGTGACATAGACCCAACCTCTTCCAAAGTCTGAGTCGATTAAGATAAGATGTTTTATGTTAAGCCAGCAATCAAAGACGATACGTTGGTGTCTACAATGGATTCAAGGTCCTCCACCAAGTTGTTTATTGTTTCAAAAGCATGCCGAGTGAAACCAAATCCGTCCCACCTTCACTTTCTCGACATCGCCACGCTTGGCAGCACCGAAAAGATTTGTTTGCCCTTTGGACAATATCCGGTTCGGATCCATGCCCAACTCCAACGCATACTTTAGAGCTGGGCCTGAGCACCCACGGAGGTCGAACAAGGAGCGGTATGGAGCCATCGATTGCTACCAGTGTTGATGATACGCCGTGTCTCAACATCTATGCACCTTTATACATGGTACTCGACTTCTTGGGTCCTTCCATCTTGATCGTCCAAATTTGTTTTGTTTGTAAAGGGGAGGACTACAAAGCTATGGAATACTGTGGGGCTGTCCTTTCAAAGATTCAAGGCTAAAGAACGTGCTCTTGGCTGTCCCAACATATGTGAAGTGCCATGGACTGCCAACCCTCAGCATCCTCATCCGCCAACACTGGGCCAACACAAAGGCTAAAATTGTCTGGCCTGTAGCGGAGGCAAAGATGTCACCTCCCATGTTGCTCAGCATATCTGTTGTCGCACCTTTCTGAACGAGGTGCTTCCTCAGTGCACCAAGGACTGCATAGCCACTTTTGCAGATTGCGTTAGTAGCCCCGATTCATGGCCATTTGCCCCAAAAAGTCATTCATATTTCCGTAGCAGGGCCTGTTCATGGTGTATCCCTGTGTGTAGAGTCACCCACATTGAAGATGGAAGTAGGGTGGACAAACTATCACTTTTTAAAGTATGGGCCGACCAAGAGGGAACCACGAAATACGACCTTTCCTGCAGACCCAGCGTCATCATTTGCACTTTTCCAGCTTCTGCTGCCCAGAAGATGGGCGTGAAGCCGTTCTGGTCCCTCGCGTCAATTGCTGCGCCATGTTTCAGCAGCGCTTCAGTGGCACCAATCTCAGCTCGATAGCATCAAGAAGTTGGAGGACTTCAAGCAGAGAACCCCCAAACTCAACCCGACAAAATATTCAATCATACAGCAAAAGCACATGCAGAAACCGAGCAGGATGTTTTTTGGTGCATCGCACATACTTGTTCCTTAAGCTGAGTCACATGGCCAGCCCGCACTGAATGAAATACAGGCGTTTGCCCAGAGGTGTCAGTGTGGCTCACAGAACACTGAGGTGTGAGTTCCTCATCGCATCGGGGCCCGATGCGATGAGGAACTCACACCTCAGCACATATTCTGACCACTGTGGGAATGGGCAAGATGTGGGGCAGGAAATGCAATCGATCACATTCAAGAGCAGGGTCTCATCCAACAAACATTGATTTTCTGGACAGCCTGCAAGCATCCAACACGAGGAGATTCCCAAGGCCCTAGAATATTGGAGTCAAGCGGCAGCTGTGAGTGCCCGTGCTTCGCAGCGTAAAAACACGCATTCTGTTGGCGATTGTCGATCACCGTGGCCGACACCCCATGCTTTCTGACCAGTCAGATTTTCAATCTCAATTCATCCAGTTTGGGGGATAGCTATTCGGACTCATCTAATTTTGACCAGTACATCCCAAGTTGCAGATCGGGAAATTCTTCACATCCAAGTCTTGGGACTATCCAACCTCGACCCAAACATGAAGTTGCCGATTTAGCCCCGTCCCCCTTGCCCCAGACCTTCACGGTGTGGCTTTTCACCGCTTTCCATAGCAGCTCGTCCACCATCCTTTGTGCCTCATTAATCGACGGGCAAGCCATGGCGAAGATATGCCGGTCGCTTGTTCGCTACCAGCAGCTAGCCACGGGTCCAGACTCTGAGTTCACGAAGGCTACGGAGAAAAGAAGCGACTCAATCCCACCCACCATGGTTCGAAGTGGTTCGAAGTGGATATCCAAGAATGTGACTTGCACCTGACAGTTCGGTTCCGGTGCGAAAAACATGAGGCATACATGTTATGAACTTGGATGTCCCATGATGTCCCCTTATTTTTGGACTCACCCAAATAACATTTCTCTGGATTGTGCTGTGAAGCACCCCATCCACCCAGAGCCGCTGTCCGGCAATTCTCTTCTTCCCAGGCAAAGTTGGAGCTCAGATCCTTGGAAATGCAGGAAATTATTGACATTATGCTACTAAAATGGTTCAATGCATGGGTATGGTCCACTTGTTGGGGGGTTCACAGAATATGTGTGTTGTTTTCAATTTCGCTATGATTTTTTGCCAATTCAACCAGTGCAAGTGCAAACTCACCGACTCTAGTTGCATCTGAAACTGCAGCTGAGACACCTTTGAATTGCCCCAACAACTATGGCAGAATCCAGAGTCATCAACATGTCTCATATCAAGACCGCACATCTCCATCAACCCATCAACCTGTGGCAGGAAACATGTATGAGTTACTTGGCCATATCGCCAATTTGCTTATCACTTTTGTTCTTTCCTGTGGTTTCCAAACCAGGACTCGTTCACAACCATTGCTACAGAAAAGGTATTCTATTTCCACCAATGATAATCCATCCCCAGGAGCTGAGCAATACAGGAATGAACCACATCAGCAAGGATGAGGATCTCAACCCATTCCTTGATCTCAAGGTCATAAGTGTCCCACCACGAATCGCACACAATACCATTTACCACTTTTGAAAGAACTGAAGGCAGTCCCAAATTCTTCTCCCAACTTATCTTTGGTGGTCTTCCATGTCAGGTCAGCTGGGACATCCCTAAATCTCATTAAATCTCCTAATTCGTAAGCACATGTGTAGCTGAAACACTGTATCATGAAGTTGCAAGTTGCAACCTTTGATTTCACCGACCCTTAACCAACTTCAGGTCCGTATCCGCTGGTGCCTTTTGGATGCGCCATCAGCAACAGCGGCTTGTCAACGAAGCTTGAAGTCCGTCCTGTCGACCAAGTCTATCTTTGTTCTGCGGATATTTGGTCCATCTCAGTTTGGCGCCTATCTACCATCGTGCCTGAAGCGTTGAGATCAACAACATGCATGTGATTCTCAAGTATATGTGAAATTAAACATACATACTGCACCAAAAAAAATTAAAATCTTTCACCAAAATCAAATCATCTCCAGTGCGACCATCTCACCTTTCTTGTCACTCTGTCTGTCTGATCGCAAGACAACATCAGCTATGTACAATGACTGAAATGTTCTTGCTCCGAGTCTTGCTTGTGCACGTTTGAAATCATGGCCAGAGTCTCCGCTTTGGTGACTATGGCGGCTGTGAGCGGCCAGGTGCCGCAAACCACAAAGCCGGTTTCTGTCCAGCCTAACGCAAGTGTCAACAGATTGTGGAGGCAAATTACCTTGCTGAGTTAAACGGCTTCTTGTTGCCCCGTGGCAGTAGCGTTGTAGTGACGAAACCCTACCTACGTCCATGTGATATGTCGCTGCCAAAGTCGAAATGGCCAAAGGTTGTTTCTGGAGCTGCTTCAACACTCCACTGTCAACATCCCCAGCGCCAAGTGTCCCTGCGAGGACGGTGAAACAAAGATCCAAAGCTTACCTTCTGCTGAAGTAGTCATTGGATTGCTGGTGCTGTCTTCAGGGATGTTCCTCTGCAACCATGGGAACCTAACTAAATCAAATCCTTTGCAAACAATCCTTATCACCAAAAGAGCTCCCTTGAGCAAAATTCGAATACTGAATGGACCCACAGAGGAATCAGCTCACGGTTCAAATTCCCCAGAATGCATCACGCCAAAAGGATTGAGAAAGGATTCAGATCTGAAAAAACAAAATATTGAAATGTCTTCGAACGAGTCTATTCCAAATTATGAAAACAGCTTGAAGGAGATGTCTATGACAGTTTCACCCTCGATTGGGGCGCTGTAAGAACTCGCATTTGTCGATCACCTCCTCCCACTTCTGCTTGAATTTCCTTGGGATGGCTGTAGGAAACTCAACGGACCTGTCCAAATGGATATTTGTCTTTAGTGAAATCAGCAAGTAGCGAGGTCTCGGTCTGAAAGAAAGCATTTGATTTCAAATAAAAATAAGCGCTCCTAGTGAAGTAATAGCTTGGACTAGATATCAATGTCGCTTGAAATGGGTTTGCAACCAACTCATGGGCACACTCTTCACTGTGGAACTGCATCCAATTACTTTCCAGGCCATTCCAGGCGATTCCAGGCCAAGTACGGCCAGTTTGAGGTCCTGTTGGTGCCGCAATTTCGAGCTACCTGTTTGTGGATCTACAATTGGTTTTCGTTCATGGAGGGAAACACCTTTCTTGGGGAAATCTTGGAACAGCGCGAATTCTGTTGCCCTTTCAGCTCTCATGTCGTATCCCAACATGTTTGTTGATGGTAGGCCCACATTTTAGGTGGTTACCAAGTTTGGTGGTTACATTCACTGACGTTCACCCAGCGTCTCCGAATCCTGAGGGATTCTTCGCCGTCCCTCTTGGCAAACAAACTCATAGCGTTGCCTGTCAGCCAAAATATGCAAAAATCACACACCCTGGATCACCCTGGGTTAAATTGTATCAACTTGTTCTGTGTTGAGATCCAAACATCCAACTCTTGCTGGCGACCCATACGTTGGAACCACCCTCGAGCGCCTTTTGGCTGCCGGCTCCTCCGCCGAAGATGGACGCCGTCTGGAGCTCGAGGACGCCGCTGCCGCCCTGGTGGCCGCAGCTGCGGCTCTCTCAGCTCGAGCTCGCTCTTGCTCCTGGGAAATTCCGAGGAGAAACGGCGGGAACATGCTTTGATATGTTTTGATTACATGCCAATGCCCATGCTTTGGATGGTTGGAACTCATTTTTTTGGAAGCAATATGCAGCTAATATTGAATTGAACCACACGTCCGCAGCAGCGCGCCCTTACAGTAGTTGGTTACTTATTTCAATTTTGGGGTAAGACGAATCCACTGTTCGTTATTTTTTGTAATTGGTAGCAAAAGATGAAGAAAACCTGTAGTGTTGTACCGTTGTTTCATACTAACAGAGGAGACTTGTTTTAATTCAACTATGTTGGTAAAAGTCGTGAGTGCATTGGCCAAGGAGAGGAGGCGAGTTCCTGTATACTGTGACTCTGTGGGGGGCTTCAGCTAAGGCCAATTCGGCCAGTGCGCTCGTGGCGCTCCTCTCTGAATGGGGATGAAATAGTACGGAGGGGGTGAGAAGGGTTGAACATGACTATGGATTCTGACGAATCAGGGTGTCTGAGTATGTGGCCAAGATACTTGATACGAGCGCCTGGTATTCCCATAAAAGAAGGAATGCACGATATGCAGAAAGGAGGAAGTCATTGGAGCAAGGAGAGTCCGTAGGAGAGAGAACTCGATGGTAGTAGGGACTTTTAATTTGAAAATTTGGTGCAGGGCCTTATATTGTAGGCTGTCAATTTAATGATTTGTGCTGGTGGGTAAGTTTGAGATTCCGAACTGTGAAGGTGGATGGACTGGATGATTTGGGTATAAACCCGAAGCTTGAATCCCTGTGAGATAAGCGGATGTCAGAAGAATGGATCGAGGATTTTAAAGGCGAGAACATCGATAGTTGACGTCAGGGACTGACGAGGAAGTGGGAGTAATAGATGAGCCCAGATACTTGGCACTGGAAAGTGGAGTGAGTGGAATGTCCAATGAAGTTGGATCAGGAGTGGAAAAGAAAAAAGCCAGGAGTCAGAGTCAGCGGTAAGAGAAAGCGAAACTGGGAGAGAAGCGTGGATAGTGAGGAGCTGACACTTGGAACCATTGAGGAGGAGGCCGATTCGTGCAGCCAGGAGTTCGAGAAGGTGTCATATACGACAGAGGGTGTCATCTGTACGGGCAATGAGAACTGTGTCATCAGCATATTCAACATCAGTTAGGGGATGTGAAAAGGAGACTGTCCACGGTACATATGAGAAAATTCCCTGGAGGAAAGAGTGAAGATCTGAAGTGGGTGCAGAGAGTACATTAATAAAGAGATTCGGACTGAGCGGACAACCTTGCTTGTCGGATTCCTCTGGAAAGATAAAAGGAGAACAGATGGAGGGATCTGTGACAAAAAGTTGTCCATTGTGGTAGGGTGCCGTTCTGGCTTGGACCAGGAGAGGAGGGATGCCAAATCTGCAGAGGGCTGCAGCTAGATGTGGGTGACCAATGGAGTCGAAAGCTTGGGACCAATCGAGAAATAGGATGTATAAGGAGGTGGAGCTCAAATATTTCTGTGAGTTGTCGGAGGAGAAGCGGGGAGTGGAAAGAGAGCGTCGAACTCTGAAATCATATTGATGTGGCTGTAGGAGGTGGTCGATAGAATGAGAGAAGCGTTGTTGTACCATGCAGGCATAGGCTTTGCAGATGGAGTTGGAAAGAGAAATAGTGCGATAGCTGGAAGGAGAACGGCTGTTCTTCTGATTGCCCTTATAGATCATGACGACTTTGCTGAATTTCCAGTGGCCTGGGGCTGTGCCCAAAAGGATGCAATCATTTTAGAGAGGAGGCATCGCTTGACTGGACCTGGGAGGAGTCCTAATGTTTCCAGTTATCTGGGCCTGGAGCTCGTCCAGCTTTTGTGCGGCGAAAAGCTTGATAAAGTTCGAACATAGCGAAGGGAGTTTCAAGGTCTGGTTGTGGGGGAGCAAGGGGGTCTTCAATAGGGTCTGGCAATGGTTTAGAATTCCAAACGTTATCCCTGAGGTGCCGGGCAAGAATGTGTGATTTCTCAGATTTAAGACATGGAGTCCCGTCAGGTTTATTGGCTGACTGGGTTCAAGGCTGGTATTTGGAGCGGATGCGTTTGATAGTTTTCCAGTGGCCTGAAGGAGAACCTATGTCAAGGTGGAGGTTTGAGGAAATCTGCCTTTCTTGTGTCAATCTTAGAGGATTTTTTGATCTTGTTGCGGAGGGACTTTTGTGTGTCCGGTGGAGCATTGGGTAGCTGATCGATGAGTGAAATTGTATCGGAGGAGATGTATGGTTTGCTTGCCACTGGTGGACTTGGTGGAAAGCAGGAGTCTGCATTGGAGGAGATCGTTTGGACCAAAGTGAATGTTGCTTAATCCAGTGGGAGAGAAGGGGAAGGAAGGAGGGGAGGGAGGGAAGAGGAGAAGGGGGAAAAGTGGAGAATCGACCGATGGGAGTACGGGAGGTAACTCCTTTGAGGGCATTGGAATTGGCCCGATCATTGCATGTGTTTCAAGTGCGAGATTTGACCTTGACAAAAAAATTGGAACGAAGACGATGGCAGAAATCAGCGAGAAGAATGGTCAGTTCAAGATTTGCGGAGGGCAATGATCTCCATTGAACAAATTTAGGACGTAATGGGAATCCAAGCAGGAAATAATGTGGGGGGAATGGTGGGTGGAGAAGCATAACTGCAATTGCTTTGAGTGGAGCCTGGAATTCAGCTGTGTTGCTGGAGCCCTTGACTGTAAATGGGAGGAAGCCAACTGGTCCGCACAGGTCCAAACGAATACGTTCAAACAAAAAGCCCCAACCTGCTAAATTATGAGGAGACACGTTAACTTGATCAGGGCAGGAGCCATCTGTGTATATATGAATTGGGGGGATGGAGAGACATGGAAGGATTTGAGAGATTCTTCCTGGTACTTGAGTTTGTGTTCAATGGAGGAGAAATCTCTCTTAGGAGGAGGTGGGAGGGTCTGAAATTGGTGAAATACGGGGGCTGCAATTTGGTAGCAAGGACAAAATGGCGATGAAACCATCGGTGGTGAAACCAGGGGAGTGGCACTGATGGAATGGATTTGATGGAGCGGAAATATGCCTGGTGCTCAATTCGACAAAGAACAAGCACAGCATACCAATCCAGAGTAGGAGACGTATAGGGTGGGGGTGAGTTGGAATATTCTAGGTATGTGATGAGCTGTGAAGGATGGCGGGGTCGCATTGAGGAGACAATCGAGAGTTTGTTGTCCTGGATGAAGTCAATCATATAGGAGAGATTGGAGGATGGGAGGAGATCATCATCAATATCGGTAGGGAAAATAGTTTGGCAAATATGGGATTGGAGGCCATCAATCTGATTGGAGTAGAGTCTGGTGTTAAAGCCGCCCATAGGTATTGGGATATTTTCGGATTTGTAATGATTGAAAACTGTATGGATGCGGTCCAAAAAAATAAACAGAGAAAAGTGCAACTCGATGTGGACGGGTATTGAGAATTAGGACTGCAACTCCGGCATGTGGAGATAAATATGAGAATGAGGGAGTTTGAGACTGTCGGTGTGGGTAGACTTGGTCTCTTGAAGACAATACAACAGATTCCCTTTGGAAGGCGGAGTATAACTTCTTGAAATTGAATATATTTTCCGACACCAACAAAAGTTTCAAAATTCCATTTATGTAATTGCAGGGTCGTGGTGGAGTTGCGAAATTGTCGAGTCTAGCTCGAGGACCGTCCAATCTGTCAGGGAGAATGTATGTTCGAAAAAAAGCTTGCTCTCGATCGAGAGGTATGGGTTAAGAAAGTGTTGAGGGTAATGGCACTTTTGGGAAGGCTGCTAAATTGCATCTTATACACGGAACCAGAAGGTATGGAACCCATCCATCGCAGGCGCTGGGAGAGCCAATCACGGTATGCTTGGCGGTTTTTTCGGTGAGAATATTTTTTTGTATCTACGTGTTTTTACTGTTTCGGAGCGCAGGTTTTGATGTGAGCGGTTCCGCGAGGCACGGCCGGGTTCGTGACCACTAGCCTGTCTGGCAAAAGGGCAATTATATAGGTAGGCGAAAAACGAACGCCTGGAGGGACAGCGGTCTCCCGGTAAGCCTCTGGCGGCCCCTGGCAGCTTTAGCTGTTCGTGAAAGGGATTTCTCCTATGTCCCCTGAAGGACCTTTCGCCCCTTCGATAAAACCATATTGAGGTGTGGTGATAACAGTATCTAATGTGATGAACTGACATCCCATTTGAAAGTTTAATCGGGTGACAAGGGGAATTTCTTAGGGCAATTGTCAAATGCCCAGTGACATAGGTAACATTGGCAGGAGCGGCAAGTATTATCAGGGATATTGCCATGATAGATATGCATATTATATTTGTTTGTGGAGCAAAAGCCGAAATGTGCGCAATGAGGGCAAAGTCTGTTGGCCATTGGTTGGCAAAAAGTTGGGGCCATGATTGACCCCTCTGTGCATTGGCTCTCAAAGGTTCTGGACCTTCAATCCAGACAAGTACTGCTTGGGGATATGTAAATGAATATGAACAAGTTTTAGAGATAGGATAAATCACGTCGAAGGCCACTCCCAAAAAGGATTGCACGAGGTGAGCTTTTGTCACTTTATGGAGGTTAGATATTATATAAATCCATTTGATTGTGAGCTTCGCTGGCGAGTAGCGAATCAGATTGGAATTGCTTCAAGAGACTGCTTCAATAAGAATTTCTTATTGCTTCAATAGGAATTGCTTCAATAGTGATAGCCTCATGGGCTGGCCAGCTGTTTTCTCGGAATGCTCTGTCTTCAATAAGAGCTGAGGATCCGAGGTGGACATTGTGTCCAGGAATGACTTCAATAGGAATTGCTTCAATATGTTGGACAGGTTGTCCAGGCGAAGAAACTTCAATAAGAATAGCTTCAATGGGTGGGACGTTAAGTCCTGCGAGCTCTGTATGGGATGGTTTAGGCAGCTGGACTTTGAGTCCAGGAATGACTTCAATTGGAATTGCTTTCATAAAGAGGACAGTGAGTCAGTGAGTCCTGGAATTGCTTCAATGAAGTTTGCTTTAAAATGATATTGAGTCCTTTGGGCCTATTCCTGGAAAGGAGTATAATTGTCTAGGAGGAGGCGGTTGTGGAATGGGTATACTTTCTGGGACGTAAAAAACTGAAAAATGCAAGTGCAGAAAACATTGAACAGATCCCACAAAAACAATTTCAAGGAAAATGACCAGCTGGGACTTGGAAGAGATACAAGCGACCGTACCCAGTGGACTTTGGCAAAGGTGGTGAAACAAGTGGCAGATACAAGGAACCGTGGGAATCGCACGTTGGCCAAGTCGGTGAAAAAGGTCACGGAAACGCTCAGGCGGTTGAGGAAGTCGTTAATGTAGGCGAATGTGGCCAATGTGATGGCCAGAGTAAACTGTTCGCCCATTTCAAATAAGGCCACCCTGCAGCTAGGCCAGCGAAAGGAAGAATTAGGAATAATTTAAGACGAAAAAAGCAAGCTCCCTTTGCACATAATGGCATGAGCCACCCTGCAGCTAGGCCAGGGACATGAAGTCTTAGAAATACTTCTCGCGGCATGACGCGCATTGAACTGTAAGTAATCAGGAGCCACCCTGCAGCAAGGCCGGCGAATAATAATGGCACAAAACTTTGAACCAATGTGTTGAAGAGGGAATTCATTGCGGCAATCAGCACGATCAAATAGTCCATTGCAATGGCAAGTAAAACGCACGGAGGGGAAGCAGCGAAAAAGCGGAGGGATGCTGAAAAGTGGCAAGCTAAAGCTTGTGCCAAATGCCTGGCTGGAACACATCTCTCAATAAAAAAAAGGGCCCAACGGGATGGTGACCCCAGTTGCTCCTCTGCCTTCTTCTGGGCCTTTGCCAGTTTCTCCTTTTGTTTTTGCAATCGTGCAGCAGCGGCGCGCTGCTTTTTCTGTGCGGCTTCAATTGCCTTCTGCTGCTTCCGCTCCGCATCTGCCCTGTTGGGGCAAGCAAGCAGGGCTCAAGAACCATGGAGCTGGTAACCCCTGGGACCGAGGGCCCTCCAAGATGCTCTCTGAAATTAATGGTTGCAAATTGATGACTTTTGAACCATTTTGCAGCTCAGAAAAATGCAGCAATTCGATCTCAACAAAAATGAGCATTCTTGAACCAAGTTGCAGCAACTTCACGACGTGTTGGTGTTTGTCTGCATTTTGCAGCTCCCGCACATACTGGAGCGCAGTTCTTCCACAGTTGTCCTTGCTAGCGGAAACATTGTGAGTTTTGGCACTCCTCCAACCTCAACACCATCGGCTTAACGGGCTTAACGTAATGAATAACGCCAAGCATCTTTGATCAAGGCATCAGCCTTGTACTTTACTAGTAGCAGATCTGTCACCTTTAGTCCTCCATGCGCTGCGGCATAAAAAAGGCCTCGATCTCGGTCGATGCATGTCACCCGGATCAGCTTTGCATGATTGAATACTTGAGAGAGGGAGGCCACAATGAATTTTCAGGGTCCACCAACGTCATGGATGAAACAGGCGAAAGTTTAAAATAATCGAAAATTCAAACTGCATACCCTGCAGCACATCAAACACTGCGTCAAGAGACACCATTCTGACAGGTTCTACATACACTCACTCTCAGCCACATATCTCTGATCGATTGTCTACCAACTCTAGTTGCCCTTGTCAACTGCAGCTGAGACGCATGTTTGTCCATATTCGTCTCGATGGTTGAAATCTGCCTTGTGGGTCTCACATAAGACCTATCACAAGACTTGCCAGTCCAAAGCGGGGCAGTGCAACCGCAAATCATTTCTGGAAGGATGGTAAGGAAACCTTGTTGGTGACATAGACCCAACCTCTTCCAAAGTCTGAGTCGATTAAGATAAGATGTTTTATGTTAAGCCAGCAATCAAAGAAGAACATTGGTGTCTACAATGGATTCAAGGTCCTCCACCAAGTTGTTTATTGTTTCAAAAGCATGCCGAGTGAAACCAAATCCGTCCCACCTTCACTTTCTCGACATCGCCACGCTTGGCAGCACCGAAAAGATTTGTTTGCCCTTTGGACAACATTCTGTTTGGGTCCATGCCCAACTCCAACGCATACTTTACAGCTGGGCCTGAGCACCCACGGAGGTCGAACAAGGAGCGGTATGGAGCCATCGATTGCTACCAGTGTTGATGATACGCCGTGTCTCAACATCTATGCACCTTTATACATGGTACTCAACTTCTTGGGTCCTTCCATCTTGATCGTCCAAATTTGTTTTGTTTGTAAAGGGGAGGACTACAAAGCTATGGAATACTGTGGGGCTGTCCTTTCAAAGATTCAAGGCTAAAGAACCTGCTCTTGGCTGTCCCAACATATGTGAAGTGCCATGGACTGCCAACCCTCAGCATCCTCATCCGCCAACACTGGGCCAACACAAAGGCTAAAATTGTCTGGCCTGTAGCGGAGGCAAAGATGTCACCTCCCATGTTGCTCAGCATATCTGTTGTCGCACCTTTCTGAACGAGGTGCTTCCTCAGTGCACCAAGGACTGCATAGCCACTTTTGCAGATTGCGTTAGTAGCCCCAATTCATGGCCATTTGCCCCAAAAAGTCATTCATATTTCCGTAGCAGGGCCTGTTCATGGTGTATCCCTGTGTGTGGAGTCACCCACATTGAAGATGGAAGTAGGGTGGACAAACTATCACTTTTTAAAGTATGGGCCGACCAAGAGGGAACCACGAAATACGACCTTTCCTGCAGACCCAGCGTCATCATTCGCACTTTTCCAGCTTCTGCTGCCCAGACGATGGGCGTGAAGCCGTTCTGGTCCCTCGCGTCGATTGCTGCGCCATGTTTCAGCAGCGCTTCAGTGGCACCAATCTCAGCTCGATAGCATCAAGAAGTTGGAGGACTTCAAGCAGAGATCCCCCAAACTCAACCCGACAAAATATTCAATCATACAGCAAAAGCACATGCAGAAACCGAGCAAGGATGTTTTTTGGTGCATCGCACATACTTGTTCCTTAAGCTGAGTCACATGGCCAGCCCGCACTGAATAAAATACAGGCGTTTGCCCAGAGGTGTCAGTGTGGCTCACAGAACACCCCGATGCGATGAGGAACTCACACCTCAGCACCTATTCCGACCACTGCGGGAATGGGCAAGATGTGGGGCAGGAAATGCAATCGATCACATTCAAGAGCAGGGTCTCATCCAACAAACATTGATTTTCTGGACAGCCTGCAAGCATCCAACACGAGGAGATTCCCAAGGCCCTAGAATATTGGAGTCAAGCGGCAGCTGTGAGTGCCCGTGCTTCGCAGCGTAAAAACACGCATTCTGTTGGCGATTATCGATCACCGCGGCGGACACCCCATGCTGTTTAACCAGCAGCTCAGTGATCTGGCCAGAAACAGTGGTGGATCCCCAAATCAAACAGCGGCCACGCAACGGTTTCCCAAGGTTTTCGTCACCATACAGCCCCGATCCAAATCCAGCCTCAAATGCCTGCTGCCCACTGACATGTTGGGCCGCTTCGAAGAGCAGCGTCTGCCCAATTCGGTTCACCTGTGCAATGATTGATGTGATGGTGTCCCTGGGTCAACATGGGCACGAGGGATTCGGAACTCCCAACTTTCAATCGTGAAACTGGAATCGCAGTGGCCAATTGGCGGCCAACATACTCCAATTTGAAGGTGTCTGTGTGTGGGTGTGTGTGGGTGTGTGTGTGTGAGAGTGTGAGTGTGAGTGTGAGTGTGTGTGTGTGAGAGTGTGAGAGTGTGACTGTGACTGTGACTGCGAATCAGCGCAAACTTTTCTGCACCCGAGCAGCGAAACACACTGAGTAAATTGCAAGGCGAATGGGTGTGATGCTCTCAATGTTTAGCTTTGACACTAGAGAAGGCCTATGGATTGGAAAGGCATGTTGGACTTGGATGTGATGTCTTTATCTAACACTTCTGGGATTTCCACCTTGTCAAGTAAGTGCCGTTTCAAAGGGACAGTTTCATGGGTTGCCCCAGTTGTAGTGTCGCAGTGGTTGGAAAGAAGACAAGAAACAGGAAAAGTCCCTCAAGGAGCTTGCGATAAAAAAAGTCAACAGCTCCTGTTACAGATGGTTTTATGTGGAAGCGTGTTACGCGTGCCACACGCATGCGGGTTGAAACCAGTCTGCTACGAGCTGTTCCAATTGAAGTTCCACAGCACAAGTTCGGCCACTGGACTGTCACGATCCGTTTATCAACATGAAAACTTCCCTCCTACCCGCGCCATTTCAGTCAGTTGAAGCCTGCTTTGGGTTCGCCTTATGCTGGGCGACGAGATCGTCCACCACCTGTTTGGGGTGTTTGGGGTGTTTGGGGTGCAACGAACAAAACACTGCCAAAAAGGGATCAGCCGAACCAAACAAAAAGATGCTGAAACGAAAACTAATCCGAACAAATCAGAACAGCGTTGGTTTGACATGACCCCTGGCAATGCCTGAAAACTCTGCACAAAAAAAAAATCCTGCATTGGGAAGTCAGGCGTATCATCCTTCCTGCAATCTTGGCAAAGTCAAGCATGTGCATCAATTTTTGAAACCTGCCCACTCATAGAGCGGCTACTTGGACCCCTCTAATTTACAACAGCAACGGAAATTGGCAGATGGGCTGGCCATTCAACACAGCCATCCGAGTCTTGGGACTGTCTGACCCGCCTCAACCCAAACATCAAGCTGCCGGTTTACCACTGTCCCCCTGCCCCACACCTTGACGGTGTGGCTTTTTACCGCCGCCCACAGCAGCTGGTCAACCAGCCTTTGAGCCTCATTGACAGATGGAAAAGCCATGGCTTGGATACGCCGGTCACTTGTTCGCGCCCAACTGCTAACCAGCCACGGGTCCAGACCCTGAGCTCACGAAGGCTACGGAAAAAAGAAGCGACCCAATCTCGGGCAAAACCATGGTTCGAAGTGGATATTCAAGCATTGCAACTTGCACCCGACAGTTGGTTTCCCGTGCCAAAAACATGAAACATACATGTCCTGCCTTCGTTTTTTGGACTCACACGAATAACTATTCTCCCGACTGTGAGGCACCCCATCCACCCAAAGCCGCTGTCCGGCAATTCTCTTCTTGAGAAACAAAGCTGGAGCAAGCGCCTGCGAAATGCAGTAATTAAATGACAGAAATCAGCGTGCCAAAGTGGATCACAGGGGGATGACCCATGCAATTTATAAGTAGTTGGCAGGTGCGTAAACCACTCAAGTCATGGGAGTGGAAGTGTCTCTGAAGGTAATGATCTATTGGCAAGTTCATTTATAAGGATTATTCAAAAAATCTTGACTGTGCGGTCCCATTGACTGGAAAGCTATGCATTCCTTGAAGTGAATGTGTAAGGTGCAGGGAAACCCGGGTGCACTGACCGTTTGCTGAGCAAACACTATCCCAGTTTTTGCCATAGAACACTGGTTTGGGTCCTGTACTGAGATTCAGACCAACTCATCATAACTCATCAGTGAGCCGGCCCGGACCAAGTAACTAGATTAAAGAAGCAGTTTGGAACAAAGTACGTCGCACTGCAAGTCAGGACCCAGCGGCGTGGTGTCGGGACAAAACCGTTTGAGTTTGACCACATGCACGCCATGAAACAGAAATCGCTTCTGCACTCAAGCAGCGGTACCATCTCGTGCGAGAGCTTGCAAGAATGGATGTGACTCATGACATGATGGTATCAAGTTTAGCTTTCACACCAATAGGAGCAGGAATTATATCGCGGCACTAGATTCACTAGATCCTGTTTTTTCCCTTTTCTTGTCCTTGGATATGCAACTTCTCAATTGTCGCTTCAAAATTCAAAACAAACAATTTCATGGGAGCCAGGTGCCGCAAACAACAAAGCCAGTTTCTGTCCGGCCTGATGCAGGTGTCAACAATTTCTTCAAGCCTATTGCTTTGTTGAGTCTCAAGTGTTCTGGTTACCCCCCAATGGAATTGTGGTGAAAAACCCTGCCTACATCCATGTTGCTGCCAAAGCTAAAATGCCCGAAGGAGGTTGTTTCAAAAGTTGCTTCACAACTCCACTGTCAACATCCACCCTAGCGCGAAGTGTCCCTGCAAGGGCGGTGAAACAAAGATCCGAAGCTCACATTCTGCTGAAGTACAGTCATTGGATCGCATCCGCATTGAAATCAGTTCACAGTTCAAATTCTGAAGAAGAATGCATCACGCTCAAAGAATTAAGAAAGGATGCGGACATGAAGAAACACAATTGAAATGTCTGGGAACGAATCTATTCCACATTGGGCTCGAATCGCCAGCAGTGAAGAGTCATAGGGCTGGCCAAAGGAGGTTGTTTCGCTGCTTCAACACTCCACTGTCAACATCCCCAGCACAAAGTGTCACTGTGACGGTGAAACAAAAATCAACGATTGCATGAAATCCCGTGAGCAAATTTCCAATACTGAATGGATCCGCATAGAAATCAATTCGCTGTTCAAATTCTGAAGAAGGATGCATCATGCCAAAAGGATTAAGACCTCTGGCTCTGATCAGAAAAAAATATCATTGAAATGTCCTCGAACGAATCTATTCCACATTATGCATATACTTTAGGGCGTTCCACGCACAGCCCCATGACTCCTCAGCGGCGCTTGGAGCCCTGCAAAAATTGACATTGATCCACAAGCTCCTGCCACTTCTCAGTGAATTTCCTTGGGATGGCAATGTGGGAAAGTCAACGAACCTGTCCACATGGATATTGGTCAAGTCTCCAATGAAATGGGCGAGTGGTGGCGGGGGCTCGGTTTGAAAGAAAGCATTTGAATTCAAATGAACGCTCCGGTGAAGTACTAGCTTGTATATCAGGATCTCCCTTTAAATGGGCTTGCAGCCAGCTCGTGGGCAGAACTGGGAACACAAACGCTTGACGGTGGGACTGCATCTAGACACTACTTTCCAGGCCTCTTGCGAAGCCTGGCCCTGGGTCACTGAACTCCGAAAATCAAATACAGCTACGAGTACCTGTTTGTGGAATTTTGTGGATTTATTCTTGGCCTTAGTTCGTACAGGGGAACAACTCTTTGGACAAGTATTGAAACAGAACGAAAATTCTTGCCCTATAGGCTCTCATCTCGTGTCCCAATATGTTTGTTGATTTTGCACCCACATTTTGGGTCCGTGTTTGGTGTTTACATTCACTGACGTTCACCCAGCGTCTCGGAATCCTGAGGAATCCTTTGTCTTCCTTCTTGGCAGACGAGCTCGTAGCGTTGCCTGTCAGCCATCACACACCCTGGATCACCCTGGGTTAAATTGTAGCAACTTGTTCTGTCTTGAGGTCCAAACATCTAACTCTTGCCGGCAACCCATACGTTGAAACCGCCCTCAAGCGCCTCTTGGCTGCCGGCTCCTCCGCCGAAGATAGACGCCTTCTCGAGCTTGATGACGCCGCTCTGGTTGCAGCTGCAGCTCTCTCAGCTCAAGCTTCTTGCTCCTGGGAAGTTCCAAGAAAAAGCGTGGGAACATGTCGAGAATTTGTTTTGATATGTTTTGATTACTTTGTGCATATTTGTTGTGCGTGCCGCTGCATGCCCATGACCATGCTGTGGATGGCTGGAACTCATCTCTCAAAAAGAGTGGCCCAACGAGATGGCGACCCCAGTTGCTCCTCCGCCTTCTTCTGCGCCTTTGCCAGTTTTTCCTCGCGCTTTCGCAGCTGTGCAGCAGCGGCGCGCTGCTTTTTCTGGGCCGCCTGAATGGCCTTCTGCTGCTTCCGCTCCGCATCCGCCCTGTTGGGGCAAGCAGGGCTCAAGAACCATGGAGCTGGTAACCCCTGGGGCCGAGGGCCCTCCATGATGCTCTCTGAGATTAATGGTTGCAAATTGATGACTTTTGAACCATTTTGCAGCTCAGAAAAATGCAGCAATTCGATCTCAACAAAAATGAGCATTCTTGAACCAAGTTGCAGCAGCTTCACGACGTGTTGGTGTTTGTCGGCATTTTGCAGCTCCAGCACATACTGGAGCGCAGTTCTTCCACAGTTGTCCTTGCTAGCAGAAACATTGTGAGTTTGGGCGCCCCTCCAACCTCAACACCATCGGCTTAACGGAATGAATAACGCCAAGCATCTTTGATCAACGCATCAGCCTTGTACTTTCCTACTAATATGCTGCAGCGCATGGAGGACTCAAGGTTACGAATCTGCTAGTTAGCAGCTAACTAGAAGATTCGGAACCTTGAGTCCTCCATGCACTGCAGCATAAAAAAGGCCTCGATCTCGATCGATGCACGTCACCCGGATCTGTGAATGCTTCAGAGATGCTACCATGAATTTTCCAGGTCCCACAAACGTGATGGGCGAAAGAAGAGAAAACATAAAATGTATACCTACAGCACATCAACTTCATCAAACTATGTCAAGAGACACTGATAAGTTGTGTGCTCACTCTCGGCCACATTTGCCTGATCAATCGTCTAACTCTATCTGGCATGTGCAGCTGAGACGCACGTTTGTCCATGTTGGTCGACATGGTCGAGAGCCAAGTTGTGGGTCTCAACTAAGACCTATCAAAAGACATGAGAATCCAGAGCGGAGCAGTGCAACATCAGATTACGTTTGGATGATCATTCTGGATGGGAAGGAAACCTTGTTGGTGATCCAAATTGTGATGAAACATATCTATATTTGATTCAACATCCTCCACCAAGTCTTTTCTTGTTTCACTAGCCTGTTGCATGAAACCAAATCGATCCCGCCTTCACTTTTTTCTACATCTCCGCGCTTGACAGCGCTGAAGAGATTTGTTTGGCCTTTTATCAATAGGCGCTTCGGGTCACTGCCCAACTCCTCGAAGGAATACTTTACTGCTGCTCCTGAGCACCCACGAAGGTCGAACCAAGAAGCGGTATGGAGGCAGTAGTTGCTACTTCTCAGTGAGAATGCCGCTTGTCCGAACATTTGCGCCCGGTACTCACCTGCGTGTGTTCTTCCATCTTGGTCATCCATGTTAATGTCGTATTTGTGGAAGGGAGGGCATACAGTTGTAGGCAGTATGGAGTGCTGTTAGAGCTATCCTTTCACAGGTTCAAGGCAAGAAAATTAAACCTACTCCTGGCCGCAACACATCTGAAGTGCCATGTACTGCCATTCTTCAGCATCATCGACCAACGCAAAGGCTAAAATTGCCTGGCCTGTAGCGGAGGAAAGGATGCCCCCTCCCAGAAAGGTGCGAGGACGACTATTCTGAGCAGCATATTCGTCCTGCTCAGCATATTCGTCCTCGCACCTCAGTACACCTGGCGCCAATCTCAGCTCAATAGCATCATGAAGTTGGAGGACTTCAAAGGTTCACATCAAAAATGCTAGACTACAGCAAGATCAGCAAGCATCAGCAGAGAGCCCCCAAACTCAATCCAAAAAATGTTCAATCATACGGTCCAACCACATGGGGTCCAACTTACAAAAAGCTCGCAAGAATAGAATGTGTTTTAGAATGTTCTAGATATTTTCGTGGATCTCGCAGGTTGTGGTCACTTTAGGCAAAGTTTTGGCCCAGGTACATGACCGTTTCGCACCGAATAAAAAAGGAGTGCCACTTGCGAGTCCAGTCTGGGGATTGGAAAGGTGTCTTGGACTTGGATGTAATATCTTTCTCTGATGCTTCTGGAATTGACACCGTGTCAAGTGCCGTTTCAAAAGAGACAGTTCCATGGGTGGACCAGTTGCAGTGTCGTATTGGGCAACCAATCAGCCCAAGTTGGAGACAAAAAAACAAGAAAACTTGTTCCTCTAGGAGCTTAGGACAACAGGACCACCAAAAAAGAATCGACAGCTAGATGGTTTTTACATGAACCAAGCAAGCATGTAAAAAATAAACGGCAACGCCGTGACGCATGCCAGTGCAAACATGCATGCACGTTGGATCCAAACTACTGAGAGCCTGTTCCAATTGTAGTCTCAGTCACAACACAGGTTTGGCCCCTGGACTGTCAAGATCCGTTCATCAAGATTGAAACTTCCCGCCTACCCACAACATTTATAAGCCAGCTGAAGCCTGCTTTGGATTCGCCGTGTGTCGGGTCAATAGTTTTTGGGGTCCAAGGAACAAAACACTGCCAAGAAAAGGATCTGCCCGCTGCCAAACCAATAAGATGTCGAACGTGAAAACTAATGAGAACAGTGTTGATTTGACATGGCCCCTTACAACGCCCCTTCCCTGCATTGGAAGTCAGGCATATCCTTCCTGCAATCTTGGCTCCCTGATCTTAGCAATTCTGAATCTTAAACCTTCCAGTTTGGGGGATAGCTAATCGGACCCCTTTCTAACTGCACACCCCAAGTTGCAGATAATCGTGGGCCATTCCCTACAGCCATCCGATGCCCCCATCCCCGTGCGCCCACACCTTAGTAGTGTCAAACGGGCGCAACGGATGATGGACAAGTCATCGCACACAACTAGAAATCAGCCGCCTGTCCCATCCCTGACTGAGCTCACGATTGCTGCGGAAAGTGCAAGAAGCAACTCATCTTCCGGCAGTCCAAGCGGATATCTGAAAACGGGAGCCCTTGGGCAGCTTGGTTTCCCCTCTTCCCTGCAACAAAAACAGAACCGGCAAAATTGGGGTAAACCTTGCATTGCTTCTCATGTCCGGCCTCATAGGTTGATCCCCAAATTTCCTAGATGATTTGCAAGCACACCCTGCCACATGAAGTTGCGACTTGCAACCTTTCATTTCACCAGCCCTTAACCAACTTCAAGTACCTACTGTATCCGCTGGTGCCTTTTGGATGTGCCATCAGCAACACCGGCTTGTCGACCGAGCTCGAAGTCCGTCCTGTCGGCCAAGTCTATTTTTGTTCTCCGGGTGCCTTGACGATCATCTCAGTGCACCGCCTATCCTAGCACTAACCATTGCTGATACAAGTCCAACACGCACCAGTTAGAATCGTTGCACCAGGATCAAGTCATCTCCAGTGCGAGCATTCTCAGCTTTTCTTGTCCTGCTGTCCGTGTAATCGCAAGAAAACATCAGCTATGTACAAAGATTGAAACTCTTGCTGTTGCATTTGAAAGGCGTCCGGGCCAGAATCTCTTGGGGACTCTGGCTGCTGTGAGATTGGCTAGGCGCAGCAAACAACAAAGCCGGTTTCTGTCCAGCTTGACGCACGTGTCAACAGATTCTTGAAGCCCCGTGCTTTGCCGAGTTTCAATTGATTTCTTTCTCCGCAGTGGTATTGTAGTGACGAAACCGTGCCAAGTCAAAGTGGCCAAAGGAGGTTGTTTCAAGAGTTGCTTCACGACTCCACTGTCAACATCCACCCTAACGGAGAGTGTCCACTGCAAGGACCGTGAAACAAAGTGCAGTCATCGGATCGCATATGGTGCTGTCCTCAGAAAAGTTCCTACGCAACCATGGGAACCAAACTAAATCAAATCCTTTGCAAACAATCCCTTCTCACCAAAAGAATTCCCATGAGCAAAATTCGAATACTGAATGGATCCGCGTCGAAATCAGTTCGCTGTTCAAATTCTGAAGAAGAATGCATCATGCCAAAAGGATTAAGAAAGGACTCTGACTCTGATCTGAAAAAAATATCATTGAAATGTCATCGAACGAATCTATTCCACATCATGCATACTTTAAGGAGACGTTCAATGCACAGCCCCATGGCCCCATGACTCCTCACCGGCGCTTCGGGCCCTGCAAAAATTGGCATTGATCCACAAGCTCATGCCACTTGTCAGTGAATTTCCTTGGGATGGCAATGTGGGAAAGTCCAACGAACCTGTCCAAATGGATATTTGTCAAGTCTCCAATGAAATGGGCGAGTGGTGGCGGGGTCTCGGTTTGAAAGAAAGCATTTGATTTTAAATGAACGCTCCGGTGAAGTACTAGCTTGTATTTCAGGATGTCCCTTTAAATGGGCTTGCAGCCAGCTTGTGGGCACAACTGGGAACACAAATGCTTGACGGTCAAACTCCATCTGCTTTCCAGGCCTCTTGCAAAGTCTTGGCCCTGGGTCACTGAACTCCTAAAATCAAATACAGCTACGAGTACCTGTTTGTGGAATTTGGTGGATTTATTCTTGGCCTTAGTTCGTACAGGGGAACAACTCTTTGGACAGGTATTGAAACAGCACGAAAATTCTTGCCCTATAGTAGGCTCTCATCTCGTATTCCAATATGTTTGTTGATTGTACACCCACATGTTGGGTCCGTGTTTGGTGTTTACATTCACTGACGTTCACCCAGTGTCTCAGAATCCTGAGGAATCCTTTGTCTTCCTTCTTGGCACACGAGCTCGTAGCGTTGCCTGTCAGCCAAAATCACACACCCTGGATCACCCTGGGTTAAATTGTATCAACTTGTTCTGTCTTGAGGTCCAAACATCTAACTCTTGCCGGCAACCCATACGTTGAAACCGCCCTCAAGCGCCTCTTGGCTGCCGGCTCCTCCACCGAAGATGGACGCTTTCTCGAGCTTGATGACGCGGCTGCAGCTCTGGTTGCAGCTGCGGCTCTCTCAGCTCGAGCTCTTTCTTGCTCCTGCGAAGTTCCAAGAAAAAGCGTGGGAACATGTCGAAAATTTGTTTTGACATGTTTTGATTACTTTGTGCATATTTTGTTGTGCGTGCCGCTGCATGCCAATGCCCACGCTTTGGATGGCTGGAACTCATCTCTCGAAAAGAGTGGCCCAACGAGATGGCGACCCCAGTTGCTCCTCCGCCTTCTTCTGCGCCTTTGCCAGTTTTTCCTCGCGCTTTCGCAGCTGTGCAGCAGCGGCGCGCTGCTTTTTCTGGGCCGCCTGAATGGCCTTCTGCTGCTTCCGCTCCGCATCCGCCCTGTTGGGGCAAGCAGGGCTCAAGAACCATGGAGCTGGTAACCCCTGGGGCCGAGGGCCCTCCATGATGCTCTCTGAGATTAATGGTTGCAAATTGATGACTTTTGAACCATTTTGCAGCTCAGAAAAATGCAGCAATTCGATCTCAACAAAAATGAGCATTCTTGAACCAAGTTGCAGCAGCTTCACGACGTGTTGGTGTTCGTCTGCATTTTGCAGCTCCCGCACATACTGGAGCGCAGTTCTTCCACAGTTGTCCTTGCTAGCGGAAACATTGTGAGTTTTGGCACTCCTCCAACCTCAACACCATCGGCTTAACGGAATGAATAACGCCAAGCATCTTTGATCAAGGCATCAGCCTTGTACTTTCCTAGTAGCAGATCTGTCACCTTGAGTCCTCCATGCGCTGCGGCATAAAAAAGGCCTCGATCTCGGTCGATGCACGTCACCCGGATCAGCTTTGCATGATTGAATACTTGAGAGAGGGAGGCCACAATGAATTTTCAGGGTCCACCAACGTCATGGATGAAACAGGCGAAAATTTAAAATAATCGAAAATTCAAACTGTATACCCTGCAGCACATCAAACACTATGTCAAGAAATACACATTCTGACAGGTTCTACATACACTCACTCTCGGCCACATATCTCTGATCGATTGTCTACCAACTCTAGTTGCCCTTGTCAACTGCAGCTGAGACGCATGTTTGTCCATATTCGTCTCGATGGTTGAGATCTGCTTTGTGGGTCTCAAATAAGACCTATCACAAGACTTGCCAGTCCAAAGCGGGGCAGTGCAACCGCAAATCATTTCTGGAAGGATGGTAAGGAAACCTTGTTGGTGACATAGACTCAACCTCTTCCAAAGTCTGAGTCGATTAAGATAAGATGTTTTATGTTAAGCCAGCAATCAAAGACAATACGTTGGTGTCTACAATGGATTCAAGGTCCTCCACCAAGTTGTTTATTGTTTCAAAAGCATGCCGAGTGAAACCAAATCCGTCCCACCTTCACTTTCTCGACATCGCCACGCTTGGCAGCACCGAAAAGATTTGTTTGGCCTTTGGACAATGTTCTATTGGGATCCATGCCCAACTCCAACGCATACTTTAGAGCTGGGCCTGAGCACCCACGGAGGTCGAACAAGGAGCGGTATGGAGCCATCGATTGCTACCAGTGTTGATGATACGCCGTGTCTCAACATCTATGCACCTTTATACATGGTACTCAACTTCTTGGGTCCTTCCATCTTGATCGTCCAAATTTGTTTTGTTTGTAGAGGGGAGGACTACAAAGCTATGGAATACAGTGGGGCTGTCCTTTCAAAGATTCAAGGCTAAAGAACCTGCTCTTGGCTGTCCCAACATATGTGAAGTGCCATGGACTGCCAACCCTCAGCATCCTCATCCGCCAACACTGGGCCAACACAAAGGCTAAAATTGTCTGGCCTGTAGCGGAGGCAAAGATGTCACCTCCCATGTTGCTCAGCATATCTGTTGTCGCACCTTTCTGAACGAGGTGCTTCCTCAGTGCACCAAGGACTGCTTAGCCACTTTTGCAGATTGCGTTAGTAGCCCCGATTCATGGCCATTTGCCCCAAAAAGTCATTCATATTTCCGTAGCAGGGCCTGTTCATGGTGTATCCCTGTGTGTAGAGTCACCCACATTGAAGATGGAAGTAGGGTGGACAAACTATCACTTTTTAAAGTATGGGCCGACCAAGAGGGAACCACGAAATACGACCTTTCCTGCAGACCCAGCGTCATCATTTGCACTTTTCCAGCTTCTGCTGCCCAGAAGATGGGCGTGAAGCCGTTCTGGTCCCTCGCGTCAATTGCTGCGCCATGTTTCAGCAGCGCTTCAGTGGCACCAATCTCAGCTCGATAGCATCAAGAAGTTGGAGGACTTCAAGCAGAGATCCCCCAAACTCAACCCGACAAAATATTCAATCATACAGCAAAAGCACATGCAGAAACCGAGCAAGGATGTTTTTTGGTGCATCGCACATACTTGTTCCTTAAGCTGAGTCACATGGCCAGCCCGCACTGAATAAAATACAGGCGTTTGCCCAGAGGTGTCAGTGTGGCTCACAGAACACCCCGATGCGATGAGGAACTCACACCTCAGCACATATTCTGACCACTGCGGGAATGGGCAAGATGTGGGGCAGGAAATGCAATCGATCACATTCAAGAGTACGGTCTCATCCAACAAACATTGATTTTCTGGACAGCCTGCAAGCATCCAACACGAGGAGATTCCCAAGGCCCTAGAATATTGGAGTCAAGCGGCAGCTGTGAGTGCCCGTGCTTCGCAGCGTAAAAACACGCATTCTGTTGGCGATTGTCGATCACCGCGGCGGACACCCCATGCTGTCTAACGAGCAGCTCAGTGATCTGGCCAGAAACAGTGGTGGATCCCCAAATCAAACAGCGGCCACGCAACGGTTTCCCAAGGTTTTCGTCACCATACGGCCCCGATCCAGGTCCAGCCTCAAATGCCTGCTGCCCACTGACATGTTGGGCCGCTTCGAAGAGCAGCGTCTGCCCAATTCGGTTCACCTGTGCAATGATTGATGTGATGGTGTCCCTGGGTCAACATGGGCACGAGGGATTCGGAACTCCCAACTTTCAATCGTGAAACTGGAATCGCAAGGGCCAATTGGCGGCCAACATACTCCAATTTGAAGGTGTCTGTGTGTGGTGTGTGTGTGTGTGTGACTGCGAATCAGCGCAAACTTTTCTGCACCCGAGCAGCGAAACACGCTGAGTAAATTGCAAGGCGAATGGGTGTGATGCTCTCAATGTTTAGCTTTGACACTAGAGAAGGCCTATGGATTGGAAAGGCATGTTGGACTTGGATGTGATGTCTTTATCTAACACTTCTGGGATTTCCACCTTGTCAAGTAAGTGTCGTTTCAAAGGGACAGTTTCATGGGTTGCCCCAGTTGTAGTGTCGCAGTGGTTGGAAAGAAGACAAGAAACAGGAAAAGTCCCTCAAGGAGCTTGCGATAAAAAAAGTCAACAGCTCCTGTTACAGATGGTTTTATGTGGAAGCGTGTTACGCGTGCCACACGCATGCGGGTTGAAACCAATCTACTACGAGCTGTTCCAATTGAAGTTCCACAGCACAAGTTCGGCCACTGGACTGTCACGATCCGTTTATCAACATGAAAACTTCTCTCCTACCCGCGCCATTTCAATCAGTTGAAGCCTGCTTTGGGTTCGCCTTATGCCGGGCGACGAGATCGTCCACCACCTGTTTGGGGTGTTTGGGGTGCAACGAACAAAACACTGCCAAAAAGGGATCAGCCGAACCAAACAAAAAGATGCTGAAACAAAAACTAATCCGAACAAATCAGAACAGCGTTGGTTTGACATGACCCCTGGCAATGCCTGAAAACTCTGCACAAAAAAAAATCCTGCATTGGGAAGTCAGGCGTATCATCCTTCCTGCAATCTTGGCAAAGTCAAGCTATGTGCATCAATTTTTGAAACCTGCCCACTCATAGAGCGGCTACTTGGTCTAATTTACAACAGCAACGGAAATTGGCAGATGGGCTGGCCATTCAACACAGCCATCCGAGTCTTGAGACTATCTGACCCGCCTCAACCCAAACATCAAGCTGCCGGTTTACCACTGTCCCCCCTGCCCCACACCTTGACGGTGTGGCTTTTTACCGCCGCCCACAGCAGCTGGTCAACCAGCCTTTGAGCCTCATTGACAGATGGAAAAGCCATGGCTTGGATACGCCGGTCACTTGTTCGCGCCCAACTGCTAACCAGCCACGGGTCCAGACCCTGAGCTCACGAAGGCTACGGAAAAAAGAAGCGACCCAACCTCGGGCAAAACCATGGTTCGAAGTGGATATTCAAGCATTGCAACTTGCACCCGACAGTTGGTTTCCCGTGCCAAAAACATGAAACATACATGTCCTGCCTTCGTTTTTTGGACTCACACGAATAACTATTCTCCCGACTGTGAGGCACCCCATCCACCCAAAGCCGCTGTCCGGCAATTCTCTTCTTGAGAAACAAAGCTGGAGCAAGCGCCTGCGAAATGCAGGAAATGACAGAAATCAGCGTGCCAAAGTGGATCACAGGGGGATGACCCGTGCAATTTATAGGTAGTTGGCAGGTGCGTAAACCACTCAAGTCATGGGAGTGGAAGTGTCTCTGAAGGTAATGATCTATTGGCTTACCAGCTTTCAAGTTCATTTATAAGGATTATTCAAAAAATCTTGACTGTGCGGTCCCATTGACTGGAAAGCTATGCATTCCTTGAAGTGAATGTGTAAGGTGCAGGGAAACCCGGGTGCACTGACCGTTTGCTGAGCAAACACTATCCCAGTTTTTGCCATAGAACACTGGTTTGGGTCCTGTACTGAGATTCAGACCAACTCATCATAACTCATCAGTGAGCCGGCCCGGACCAAGTAACTAGATTAAAGAAGCAGTTTGGAACAAAGTACGTCGCACTGCAAGTCAGGACCCAGCGGCTTGGTGTCGGGAAAAAACCGTTTGAGTTTGACTACATGCACGCCATGAAACAGAAATCTCTTCTGCACTCAAGCAGCGGTACCATCTCGTGCGAGAGCTTGCAAGAATGGATGTGACTCATGACATGATGGTATCAAGTTTAGCTTTCACACCAATAGGAGCATGAATTAATGTAAATTATCGCGGCACTAGATTCACTAGATCCTGTTGTTTCCCTTTTCTTGTCCTTGGATATTCAACTTCTCAATTGTCGCTTCAAAATTCAAAACAAACAATTTCATGGGAGCCAGGTGCCGCAAACAACAAAGCCAGTTTCTGTCCGGCCTGATGCAGGTATCAACAATTTCTTCAAGCCTATTGCTTTGTTGAGGCTCAAGTGTTTTGGTTACCCCCCAATGGTATTGTGGTGAAAACCCTGCCTACATCCATGTTGCTGCCAAAGCTAAAATGCCCGAAGGAGGTTGTTCAAAAGTTGCTTCACAACTCCACTGTCAACATCCACCCTAGCGCGAAGTGTCCCTGCAAGGGCGGTGAAACAAAGATCCGAAGCTCACATTCTGCTGAAGTACAGTCATTGGATCGCATCCGCATTGACATCAGTTCACAGTTCAAATTCTGAAGAAGAATGCATCACGCCCAAAGAATTAAGAAAGGATGCGGACATGAAGAAACACAATTGAAATGTCTGGGAACGAATCTATTCCACATTGGGCTCGAATCGCCAGCAGTGAAGAGTCATAGGGCTGGCCAAAGGAGGTTGCTTCGCTGCTTCAACACTCCACTGTCAACATCCCCAGCACAAAGTGTCACTGTGACGGTGAAACAAAAATCAAACGATTGCATGAAATCCCGTGAGCAAATTTCCAATACTGAATGGATCCGCATAGAAATGAATTCGCTGTTCAAATTCTGAAGAAGAATGCATCATGCCAAAAGGATTAAGAAAGGACTCTGACTCTGATCTGAAAAAAATATCATTGAAATGCTATCGAACGAATCTATTCCACATCATGCATATACTTTAAGGAGACGTTCAATGCACAGCCCCATGGCCCCATGATTCCTCACCGGCGCTTCGGGCCCTGCAAAAATTGACATTGATCCACAAGCTCCTGCCACTTCTCAGTGAATTTCCTTGGGATGGCAATGTGGGAAAGTCAACGAACCTGTCCAAATGGATATTTGTCAAGTCTCCAATGAAATGGGCGAGTGGTGGCGGGGTCTCGGTTTGCAGAGAACGAGCAAATGTGGTGGATTTTGATTTTGCCACTTCATGCCACTTCATGCCACTTCAAGTGGCGTATGCCACTTCGAGTGGCGTATGCCACTTCGAGTGGCGTATGCCACTTCGAGTGGCGTATGCCACTTCGAGTGGCGTGTGCCACTTCGAGTGGCGTGTGCCACTTCGAGTGGCGTGCTGACTGTGTAGCCTTCGCGTTCCGAGTGGCGTATGCCACTTAAAGTGCAAGCTTTGTAGTACAAAGTAGTACTGCTGGTCCTTTGTGCAACTTTTGTAGTACAAAGTAGTACTGCGCAGTGCTTTGTGCAAGCTTTGTAGTACAAAGTAGTGGGAAGTGTTTTGTGCATGCCTTGTAGTACAAAGTAGTACTGGGGAGTGCTTTGTGCAAGCTTTCTAGTACAAAGTAGTACTGGGAAGTGTTTTGTGCAACTCTTGTAGTACAAAGTAGTACTGGGGAGTGCTTTGTGCAAGCTTTGTAGTACAAAGTAGTTCTGGGGAGTAGTTTGTGCAAGCTTTGTAGTACAAGGAGTTGTTTTGTGCAATTTTTGTAGTGCAAAGTAGTACTGGGGAGTGCTTTGTGCAAGCTTTGTAGTACAAAGTAGTACTGGGAGTTGTTCTGCGCAACTTTTGCAGTACAAAGTAGTACTGGGGAGTGCTTTGTGCAAGCTTTGTAGTACAAAGTAGTACTGGGAAGTGGTTTGTGCAAGCTTTGTAGTACAAAGTAGTACTGGGAAGTGTTTTGTGCAACTTTTGTAGTACAAAGTAGTACTGCGGAGTGCTTTGTGCAAGCTTTGCAGTACAAAGTAGTACTGGGGAGTAGTTTGTGCAAGCTTTGTAGTACAAAGTAGTACTGGGAGTTGTTTTGTGAAACTTTTGTAGTACAAAGTAGTACTGGGAGTTGTTTTGTGCAACTTTTGTAGTACAAAGTAGTACTGGGGAGTGCTTTGCGCAAGCTTTGTAGTACAAAGTAGTATTGGGAAGTGTTTTGTGCAAGCTTTGTAGTACAAAGTGGTACTGGGAAGTGTTTTGTGCATGCCTTGTAGTACAAAGTAGTACTGCGGAGTGCTTTGTGCAAGCTTTGCAGTACAAAGTAGTACTGCTGGTCCTTTGTGCAAGTTTTGTAGTACAAAGTCGGACTGGGGAGTGCTTTGTGCAAGTTTTGTAGTTCCAAGTAGTACTGGGAGTTGTTCTGTGCAACTTTTGCAGTACAAAGTAGTACTGGGGAGTGCTTTGGCAAGCTTTGTAGTACAAAGTAGTACTGGGAAGTGGTTTGTGCAAGCTTTGTAGTACAAAGTAGTACTGGGAAGTGTTTTGTGCGAGCCTTGTAGTACAAAGTAGTACTGCGGAGTGTTTTGTCTTTGTAGTACAAAGTAGTACTGGGAAGTAGTTTGTGCAAGCTTTGTAGTACAAAGTAGTACTGGGAGTTGTTTTGTGCAACTTTTGTAGTTCAAAGTAGTACTGGGGAGTGCTTGGCGCAAGCTGTGTAGTACAAAGTAGTATTGGGAAGTAGTTTGTGCAAGCTTTGTAGTACAAAGTAGTACTGGAACGTGTCTAGTGCAAGCTTTGTAGTACAAAGTAGTACTGGGAAGTGGTTTGTGCAAGCTTTGTAGTACAAAGTAGTACTGGGAAGTGTTTTGTGCGAGCCTTGTAGTACAAAGTAGTACTGCGGAGTGTTTTGTCTTTGTAGTACAAAGTAGTACTGGGAAGTAGTTTGTGCAAGCTTTGTAGTACAAAGTAGTACTGCGGAGTGTTTTGTGTTTGTAGTACAAAGTAGTACTGGGAAGTAGTTTGTGCAAGCTTTCTAGTACAAAGTAGTACTGGGAAGTGTTTTGTGCAACTCTTGTAGTACAAAGTAGTACTGGGGAGTGCTTTGTGCAAGCTTTGTAGTACAAAGTAGTACTGGGAGTTGTTTTGTGCAACTTTTGTAGTTCAAAGTAGTACTGGGGAGTGCTTGGCGCAAGCTGTGTAGTACAAAGTAGTATTGGGAAGTAGTTTGTGCAAGCTTTGTAGTACAAAGTAGTACTGGAACGTGTCTAGTGCAAGCTTTGTAGTACAGATTAGTACTGGGAACTAGTTTTTGCAAGCTTTTGTAGTAGACATCATTACTGGAAAGTACTTGACATGAAAATAGCCAAGAAGAACTTAGCTGACATCTGGGAAGACATGGAATGACATGAGAAGAGCTCCGATGAGATGAGTTTAGATGAAGTGCAAGTGTGAAGTGTGGAGTGTGGGGTGTGAAGAGTGCAATGTGAAGTCTGAGGAAAGTGTTTGCATTGCACCGGTGTCGCGCGCAGGTCATGTTCTTATGTTCTTGGCCACAACACTACAACAGCTTCGCACAGCTTCGCAGAAAGCACGCACGCACAGCCCTGGCTGGAGCACGGCGCATGCAAGGTGCTTAGCCGTAGTACTTGGAAGTGATTCATGGAAGCTTGCGTGACATATGAGAAGAGATGAGATGAGAAGAGATGAGCTGGGTTAAGGTGAGAAGAGCTCAGATGAGATGAAGTGTGGAGTGTGAAGTGTGAGGAGTGCAGTGAGAAGTGTGGGGCGTGAAGACTGCAGTTTGAAGAGTGAAGTGTGAAGTGTGGACTGTGAAGTTTGAAGTGTGAAGTGCCAAGTGTGCAGTCTTAAGAGCGCCGGGTGAAGTGAAGTCTGGAGTGCGAAGAGTGCAGTGTGAAGTGTGAAGTGTGGAGTGTGAAGAGTGCAGTGAGTAGTGCGAAGTGCGAAGTGGATCTGCAAATGTGACTTGCGATGGAGTCAAAAGATCCAGCTATCATCATCGCTGCTGGAGTCCTCAACATCGATGGGCGCAGCAGTCGACATTCCATCTGCATCACGCTGCGGTAGCATTCCGGCCACCCTTGGCAAAAGGTTGGCTTGTAGGGCAATGGATCGCTCATTTCAACCTGAAACAACACAAAACATCTCTATCAGAGATAACTGGCAGATGATGCTTGAAACGGCGGCTATAGGGATGATGATGATGATGAGGAGGAGGACCGTTTTGTCTGTGCATCAGTCCGTCCTCTGCCCATCACACTGTCACATCTCTCCTATAGTTTTTTTTGGAAACTTCTGCCACCGCCTGGTGCGGTTCCTATGTTAGCGCCAATGATGTAAATGATGATAATGAAGTCGAAGCTGTTGAACACGTATTGCTACGGCCAAGATGTGATAGGTAAGTCTTGTAACAAATTTTCGTTCACATTGTTGTGAAACTGGTTTGTTGTCATTCTTGGCGTCGTGCCCAGAGTTCGGCAACCGTTTGAAACTGACACGTTTCTAAGATCTTTGCGCGCAATATGTGAAAAACGTGACTACATGTCAGAAAATCAAACGGCAGCAGCAAAAGTTTTCACAAAGAGGTATCAAGGCACAGTGGTGGCCCATTGTCGAGTGCTTCCAGGCATCGCCATAAAGCTTTGGCGGTTTTAACACGAAGAACCATCCCATATATGTACTTTGACTGCCTTCTCAAACCCATTCCCCAGTATGCAACCACTTGTAGAGATTCGTGGTCAAAGAGACACACTTCAGGCCTCCAGGATCTACAAGTCTGCGACAGAAATATGGTTGTGTCCAGCAAGACTTCTTCGGCCTTGTGTCGCCGAATAGATAAAGTCCAGGTTGGTTGGCGGGCCAAGACAGCTTGGCAGAACGACTCTGGTACATTTTCCCAATCATCCTGGTCAGTGTCTGTCCGCGCAAAAGGGACGCCAATTGTGAAGGAATTTTCCCTTTTTGGAAAGATGTCCTGCAGTCTTGCTTCTGTTCGTGCTCAGACACGAAAGTAAGACACTTCTTGACATAGCTATGTTTGTATTCTGAAACGCTTTCCTTACTTTGCTGATACCATCGTACTGTTTCCCAAATAATGTCCTCTACCAACTCTTCTCACCCAGCTCTCCTGTGGTGCCTTGAGCCACACTGCTGTATGGTTTTATTTCGAAATGCATTCCTCATCTACTGTATGGTTTTGTTTCAGTAAATCCATTGAGCACGCAGGAGGTGCGTAAACCGATTTCGCCACTTCACGCCACTAGCAGTAGTAGAAGTAGTCGTAGCCGTAGTCGTAGTAGTACAAGTGGTAGTAGTAGCAGTAGTAGAAGTTGTAGCCGTAGTCGTAGTAGTACAAGTAGTATACTAGCAGTATACTAGTAGCAGTAGTAGAAGTAGCCGTAGCCGTCGTAGTAGTATAGTAGCCGTAGCCGTCGTAGTAGTAGTCGTAGTAGTAGTAGTAGCAGTAGTAGCAGTAGCAGCAGCAGCAGTCGTTGTAGTGGTGGTAGTAGTAGTAGTAGTAGTAGTAGTAGTACTGGTAGTAGTAGTAGTAGTAGTAGTAGTATTAGTAGTAGTAGTACTACTAGTACTAGTACTAGTACTAGTAGTAGTAGTAGTAGTAGTAGTAGTAGTAATAGTAATAGTAGTACGCGTCGTCGTAACAGCAGTCGTAGTCGTAATGTCCCACCGTGAGCATGCCACTTCATGCCACTTCAAGTGGCGTATGCCACTTCGAGTGGCGTATGCCACTTCAAGTGGCGCATGCCACTTCAAGTGGCGTGTCGCACCGTGAGCATGCCACTTCATGCCACTTCATGCCGCTTCAAGTGGCGCATGCCACTTCAAGTGGCGTGTCGCACCGTGAGCATGCCACTTCATGCCACTTCAAGTGGCGGCCGCACCGTGAGCATGCCACTTCATGCCACTTCAAGTGGCGGTCGCACCGTGAGCATGCCACTTCATGCCACTTCATGCCACTTCAAGTGGCGTGAAGTGGCGTGAAGTGGCGAAATCGGTTTACGCACCTCCTGCGTGCTCAATGTCGGTTTGAAAGAATTTGATTTCAAATGAACGCTCCGGTGAAGTACTAGCTTGTATATCAGGATGTCCCTTTAAATGATTTTAAATGGGCTTGCAGCCAGCTCGTGGGCACAACTGGGAACACAAACGCTTGACGGTGGAACTCCATCTACTTTCCAGGCCTCTTGCAAAGTCTTGGCCCTGGGTCACTGAACTCCTAAAATCAAATACAGCTCCGAGTACCTGTTTGTGGAATTTGGTGGATTTATTCTTGGCCTTAGTTCGTACAGGGGAACAACTCTTTGGACAAGTATTGAAACAGCACGAAAATTCTTGCCCTCTGGGCTCTCATCTCGTATCCAAATATGTTTTCGTATCCCAGTATGTTTTCGCATCCCAATATGTTTGTTGATGGTACACCGACATTTTGGGTCCGTGTTTGGTGTTTACATTCACTGACGTTCACCCAGCGTCTCAGAATCCTGAGGAATCCTTTGTCTTCCTTCTTGGCACACGAGCTCGTAGCGTTGCCTGTCAGCCAAAATATGCAAAAATCACACACCCTGGATCACCCTGGGTTAAATTGTAGCAACTTGTTCTGTCTGGAGGTCCAAACATCTAAGTCTTGCCGGCAACCCATACGTTGAAACCGCCCTCAAGCGCCTCTTGGCTGCCGGCTCCTCCGCCGAAGATGGACGCTTTCTCGAGCTTGATGACGCGGCTGCAGCTCTGGTTGCAGCTGCGGCTCTCTCAGCTCGAGCTCTTTCTTGCTCCTGCGAAGTTCCAAGAAAAAGCGTGGGAACATGTCGAAAAATTGTTTTGATATGTTTCGATTACTTTGTGCATATTTTGTTGTGCGTGCCGCTGCATGCCAATGCCCATGCTTTGGATGGCTGGAACTCATCTCTCGAAAAGAGTGGCCCAACGAGATGGCGACCCCAGTTGCTCCTCCGCCTTCTTCTGCGCCTTTGCCAGTTTTTCCTCGCGCTTTCGCAGCTGACCTGGTAAACCAGGGCCCTCCATGATGCTCTCTGATATGAACTGATGATTCTCAACCATTTTGAAATGATTCGAGCTCACAGCAGTCTTGAACCAAGTTGCAGCAGTTTCACAATATCTTTTAAGGACCGTGGAAGAACTGCCCGGCAGTACACACACTGGAGCTTGAAAAACCCGAGCAACATAAAGACTTTATGTTCATCGAGTTTTTCAAGCTCCAACATGTACTGCTGGGCTGTTCTTCCATGGTTGTCCTTGGTGGCGGAAACAGTATGAATTCTTGCAGCGCCACTCCACAAATGGCTCAGGAACGAACTCCGGCAAAAACAAACAACCGGCCCACCAAAATTCCTTTGCACCTCTCCCACCCCAACACCATCAATCCGTTGAGAGGAATGAATGGCGCCAAGTGCCAAGCATCTTTGATCAAGGCATCAGCCTTGTACTTTCCTAGTAGCACATGCGTAACTGTGCATCCCCCATGCGCTGCGGCATAAAAAAGGCCTCGATCTCGATCGATGCAGATCACCCAGATCAGCTTTGCATGATTGAATACTTGAGAGAGGGAGGCCACAATGAATTTTCAGGGTCCACCAACGTCATGGACGAAACAGGCGAAAATTTAAAATAATCGAAAATTCAAAATGTATACCCTGCAGCACAGCAAACACTATGTCAAGAGACACCATTCTGACAGGTTCTACATACACTCACTCTCGGCCACATATCTCTGATCGATTGTCTACCAACTCTAGTTGCCCTTGTCAACTGCAGCTGAGACGCATGTTTGTCCATATTCGTCTTTATGGGACCCACAACGCAGATCTCAACCATGAGATCTGCGTTGTGGGTCTCAACTAAGACCTATCACAAGACTTGCCAGTCCAAAGCGGGGCAGTGCAACCGCAAATCATTTCTGGAAGGATGGTAAGGAAACCTTGTTGGTGACATAGACCCAACCTCTTCCAAAGTCTGAGTCGATTAAGATAAGTAAGATGTTTTATGTTAAGCCAGCAATCAAAGACAATACGTTGCTGTCTAAAATGGATTCAAGGTCCTCCACCAAGTTGTTTATTGTTTCAAAAGCATGCCGAGTGAAACCAAATCCGTCCCACCTTCACTTTCTCGACATTGCCACGCTTGGCAGCACCGAAAAGATTTGTTTGGCCTTTGGACAATGTTCGATTCGGATCCATGCCCAACTCCAACGCATACTTTAGAGCTGGGCCTGAGCACCCACGGAGGTCGAACAAGGAGCGGTATGGAGCCATCGATTGCTACCAGTGTTGATGATACGCCGTGTCTCAACATCTATGCACCTTTATACATGTTACTCAACTTCTTGGGTCCTTCCATCTTGATCGTCCAAATTTGTTTTGTTTGTAAAGGGGAGGACTACAAAGCTATGGAATACTGTGGGGCTGTCCTTTCAAAGATTCAAGGCTAAAGAACCTGCTCTTGGCTGTCCCAACATATGTGAAGTGCCATGGACTGCCAACCCTCAGCATCCTCATCCGCCAACACTGGGCCAACACAAAGGCTAAAATTGTCTGGCCTGTAGCGGAGGCAAAGATGTCACCTCCCATGTTGCTCAGCATATCTGTTGTCGCACCTTTCTGAACGAGGTGCTTCCTCAGTGCACCAAGGACTGCATAGCCACTTTTGCAGATTGCGTTAGTAGCCCCGATTCATGGCCATTTGCCCCAAAAAGTCATTCATATTTCCGGAGCAAGGCCTATTCATGGTGTATCCCTGTGTGTAGAGTCACCCACATTCAAAATGGAAGTAGAGTGGACAAACTATCACTTTTAAAGTATGGGCCGACCAAGAGGGAACCACGAAATACGACCTTTCCTGCAGACCCAGCGTCATCAATTGCACTTTTCCAGCTTCTGCTGCCCAGAAGATGGGCGTGAAGCCGTGCTGGTCCCTCGCGTCAATTGCTGCGCCATGTTTCAGCAGCGCTTCAGTGGCACCAATCTCAGCTCGATAGCACCAAGAAGTTGGAGGACTTCAAGCAGAGATCCCCCAAACTCAACCCGACAAAATATTCAATCATACAGCCAAAGCACATGCAGAAACCGAGCAAGGATGTTTTTTGGTGCATCGCACATACTTGTTCCTTAAGCTGAGTCACATGGCCAGCCCGCACTGAATAAAATACAGGCGTTTGCCCAGAGGTGTCAGTGTGGCTCACAGAAGACCCCGATGCGATGAGGAACTCACACCTCAGCACATATTCTGACCACTGCGGGAATGGGCAAGATGTGGGGTAGGAAATGCAATCGATCACATTCAAGAGTAGGGTCTCATCCAACAAACATGGATTTTCTGGACAGCCTGCAAGCATCCAACACGAGGAGATTCCCAAGGCCCTAGAACATTGGAGTCAAGCGGCAGCTGTGAGTGCCCGTGCTTCGCAGCGTAAAAACACGCATTCTGTTGGCGATTATCGATCACCGCGGCGGACACCCCATGCTGTCTAACCAGCAGCTCAGTGATCTGGCCAGAAACAGTGGTGGATCCCCAAGTCAAACAGCGGCCACGCAACGGTTTCCCAAGGTTTTCGTCACCATACGGCCCCGATCCAGGTCCAGCCTCAAATGCCTGCTGCCCACTGACATGTTGGGCCGCTTCGAAGAGCAGCGTCTGCCCAATTCGGTTCACCTGTGCAATGATTGATGTGATGGTGTCCCTGGGTCAACATGGGCACGAGGGATTCGGAACTCCCAACTCTCAATCGTGAAACTGGAATCGCAAGGGCCAATTGGCGGCCAACATACTCCAATTTGAAGGTGTCTGTGTGTGTGGGTGTGTGTGTGTGTGTGTGACTGCGAATCAGCGCAAACTTTTCTGCACCCGAGCAGCGAAACACGCTGAGTAAATTGCAAGGCGAATGGGTGTGATGCTCTCAATGTTTAGCTTTGACACTAGAGAAGGCCTATGGATTGGAAAGGCATGTTGGACTTGGATGTGATGTCTTTATCTAACACTTCTGGGATTTCCACCTTGTCAAGTGTCGTTTCAAAGGGACAGTTTCATGGGTTGCCCCAGTTGTAGTGTCGCAGTGGTTGGAAAGAAGACAAGAAACAGGAAAAGTCCTCAAGGAGCTTGCGATAAAAAAAGTCAACAGCTCCTGTTACAGATGGTTTTATGTGGAAGCGTGTTACGCGTGCCACACGCATGCGGGTTGAAACCAATCTACTACGAGCTGTTCCAATTGAAGTTCCACAGCACAAGTTCGGCCACTGGACTGTCACGATCCGTTTATCAACATGAAAACTTCCCTCCTACCCGCGCCATTTCAGTCAGTTGAAGCCTGCTTTGGGTTCGCCTTATGCCGGGCGACGAGATCGTCCACCACCTGTTTGGGGTGTTTGGGGTGCAACGAACAAAACACTGCCAAAAAGGGATCAGCCGAACCAAACAAAAAAATGCTGAAACGAAAACTAATCCGAACAAATCAGAACAGCGTTGGTTTGACATGACCCCTGGCAATGCCTGAAAACTCTGCACAAAAAAAATCCTGCATTGGGAAGTCAGGCGTATCATCCTTCCTGCAATCTTGGCAAAGTCAAGCTATGTGCATCAATTTTTGAAACCTGCCCACTCATAGAGCGGCTACTTGGTCTAATTTACAACAGCAACGGAAATTGGCAGATGGGCTGGCCATTCAACACAGCCATCCGAGTCTTGAGACTATCTGACCCGCCTCAACCCAAACATCAAGCTGCCGGTTTACCACTGTCCCCCCTGCCCCACACCTTGACGGTGTGGCTTTTTACCGCCGCCCACAGCAGCTGGTCAACCAGCCTTTGAGCCTCATTGACAGATGGAAAAGCCATGGCTTGGATACGCCGGTCACTTGTTCGCGCCCAACTGCTAACCAGCCACGGGTCCAGACCCTGAGCTCACGAAGGCTACGGAAAAAAGAAGCGACCCAATCTCGGGCAAAACCATGGTTCGAAGTGGATATTCAATCATTGCAACTTGCACCCGACAGTTGGTTTCCCGTGCCAAAAACATGAAACATACATGTCCTGCCTTCGTTTTTTGGACTCACACGAATAACTATTCTCCCGACTGTGAGGCACCCCATCCACCCAAAGCCGCTGTCCGGCAATTCTCTTCTTGAGAAACAAAGCTGGAGCAAGCGCCTGCGAAATGCAGGAAATGACAGAAATCAGCGTGCCAAAGTGGATCACAGGGGGATGACCCGTGCAATTTATAGGTAGTTGGCAGGTGCGTAAACCACTCAACTCAGGTAATGATCTATTGGCGGACCAGCTTTCAAGTTCATTTTTAAGGATTATTCAAAAAATCTTGACTGTGCGGTCCCATTGACTGGAAAGCTATGCATTCCTTGAAGTGAATGTGTAAGGTGCAGGGAAACCCGGGGGCACTGACCGTTTGATGAGCAAACACTATCCCAGTTTTTGCCATAGAACACTGGTTTGGGTCCTGTACTGAGATTCAGACCAACTCATCATAACTCATCAGTGAGCCGGCCCGGACCAAGTAACTAGATTAAAGAAGCAGTTTGGAACAAAGTACGTCGCACTGCAAGTCAGGACCCAGCGGCTTGGTGTCGGGAAAAAACCGTTTGAGTTTGACTACATGCACGCCATGAAACAGAAATCTCTTCTGCACTCAAGCAGCGGTACCATCTCGTGCGAGAGCTTGCAAGAATGGATGTGACTCATGATATGATGGTATCAATTTTAGCTTTCACACCAATAGGAGCATGAATTAATGTAAATTCTCGCGGCACTAGATTCACTAGATCCTGTGTTTTCCCTTTTCTTGTCCTTGGATATTCAACTTCTCAATTGTCGCTTCAAAATTCAAAACAAACAATTTCATGGGAGCCAGGTGCCGCAAACAACAAAGCCAGTTTCTGTCCGGCCTGATGCAGGTCTCAACAATTTCTTCAAGCCTATTGCTTTGTTGAGTCTCAAGTGTTTTGGTTACCCCCAATGGTATTGTGGTGAAAACCCTGTCTACATCCATGTTGCTGCCAAAGCTAAAATGCCCGAAGGAGGTTGTTTCAAAAGTTGCTTCACAACTCCACTGTCAACATCCACCCTAGCGCGAAGTGTCCCTGCAAGGGCGGTGAAACAAAGATCCGAAGCTCACATTCTGCTGAAGTACAGTCATTGGATCGCATCCGCATTGAAATCAGTTCACAGTTCAAATTCTGAAGAAGAATGCATCACGCCCAAAGAATTAAGAAAGGATGCGGACATGAAGAAACACAATTGAAATGTCTGGGAACGAATCTATTCCACATTGGGCTCGAATCGCCAGCAGTGAAGAGTCATAGGGCTGGCCAAAGGAGGTTGTTTCGCTGCTTCAACACTCCACTGTCAACATCCCCAGCACAAAGTGTCACTGTGACGGTGAAACAAAAATCAAACGATTGCATGAAATCCCGTGAGCAAATTTCCAATGCGGAATGGATCCGCATAGAAATCAATTCGCTGTTCAAATTCTGAAGAAGAATGCATCATGCCAAAAGGATTAAGAAAGGACTCTGACTCTGATCTGAAAAAAATATCATTGAAATGCTATCGAACGAATCTATTCCACATCATGCATATACTTTAAGGAGACGTTCAATGCACAGCCCCATGGCCCCATGACTCCTCACCGGCGCTTCGGGCCCTGCAAAAATTGGCATTGATCCACAAGCTCATGCCACTTGTCAGTGAATTTCCTTGGGATGGCAATGTGGGAAAGTCAACGAACCTGTCCAAATGGATATTTGTCAAGTCTCCAATGAAATGGGCGAGTGGTGGCGGGGTCTCGGTTTGAAAGAAAGCATTTGATTTCAAATGAACGCTCCGGTGAAGTACTAGCTTGTATATCAGGATCTCCCTTTAAATGGGCTTGCAGCCAGCTCGTGGGCACAACTGGGAACACAAACGCTTGACGGTGGGACTGCATCTAGACACTACTTTCCAGGCCTCTTGCAAAGTCTGGCCCTGGGTCACTGAACTCCGAAACTCAAATACAGCTACGAGTACCTGTTTGTGGAATTATGTGGATCTATTCTTGGCCTTAGTTCGTACAGGGGAACAACTCTTTGGACAAGTATTGAAACAGCACGAAAATTGTTGCCCTATAGGCTCTCATCTCGTATCCCAATATGTTGTTGATTCACATTTTGGGTCCGTGTTTAGTGTTTACATTCACTGATGTTCACCCAGCGTCTCAGAATCCTGAGGAATCCTTTGTCTTCCTTCTTGGCACACGAGCTCGTAGCGTTGCCTGTCAGCCAAAATCATACACCCTGGACCACCCCGGGTTAAATTGTATCAACGTGTTCTGTCTTGAGGTCCAAACATCCAACTCTTGCCGGCAACCCATATGTTGAAACCGCCCTCAAGCGCCTCTTGGCTGCCGGCTCCTCCGCCGAAGATGGACGCTTTCTCGAGCTTGATGACGCGGCTGCAGCTCTGGTTGCAGCTGCGGCTCTCTCAGCTCGAGCTCTTTCTTGCTCCTGCGAAGTTCCAAGAAAAAGCGTGGGAACATGTCGAAAATTTGTTTTGACATGTTTTGATTACTTTGTGCATATTTTGTGCGTGCCGCTGCATGCCAATGCCCATGCTTTGGATGGCTGGAACTCATCTCTCGAAAAGAGTGGCCCAACGAGATGGCGACCCCAGTTGCTCCTCCGCCTTCTTCTGCGCCTTTGCCAGTTTTTCCTCGCGCTTTCGCAGCTGTGCAGCAGCGGCACGCTGCTTTTTCTGGGCCGCCTGAATGGCCTTCTGCTGCTTCCGCTCCGCATCCGCCCTGTTGGGGCAAGCAGGGCTCAAGAACCATGGAGCTGGTAACCCCTGGGGCCGAGTGCCCTCCATGATGCTCTCTGAGATTAATGGTTTCAAATTGATGACTTTTGAACCATTTTGCAGCGCAGAAAAATGCAGCAATTCGATCTCAACAAAAATGAGCATTCTTGAACCAAGTTGCAGCAGCTTCACGACGTCTTTGGGTTCGTCTGCATTTTGCAGCTCCAGCACATACTGGAGCGCAGTTCTTCCACAGTTGTCCTTGCTAGCAGAAACATTGTGAGTTTGGGCGCCCCTCCAACCTCAACACCATCGGCTTAACGGAATGAATAACACCAAGCATCTTTGATCAACTGCACCATATTAGTAGGAAAGTATAAGTACAAGGCTGATGCGTTGACAACGCATCAGCCTTGTACTTTCCTACTAATATGCTGCAGCGCATGGATGACGCAAGGTTACGAATCTGCTAACTAGCAGATTCGTAACCTTGAGTCCTCCATGCGCTGCAGCATAAAAAAAAGGGCTTAACGGAATGAATAACGCCAAGCATCTTTGATCAAGGCATCAGCCTTGTACTTTACTAGTAGCAGATCTGTCACCTTGAGTCCTCCATGCGCTGCGGCATAAAAAAAGGCCTCGATCTCGGTCGATGCACGTCACCCGGATCAGCTTTGCATGATTGAATACTTGAGAGAGGGAGGCCACAATGAATTTTCAGGGTCCACCAACGTCATGGATGAAACAGGCGAAAATTTAAAATAATCGAAAATTCAAACTGTATACCCTGCAGCACATCAAACACTATGTCAAGAAATACACATTCTGACAGGTTCTACATACACTCACTCTCGGCCACATATCTCTGATCGATTGTCTACCAACTCTAGTTGCCCTTGTCAACTGCAGCTGAGACGCATGTTTGTCCATATTCGTCTCGATGGTTGAGATCTGCTTTGTGGGTCTCAAATAAGACCTATCACAAGACTTGCCAGTCCAAAGCGGGGCAGTGCAACCGCAAATCATTTCTGGAAGGATGGTAAGGAAACCTTGTTGGTGACATAGACCCACCCTCTTCCAAAGTCTGAGTCGATTAAGATAAGATGTTTTATGTTAAGCCAGCAATCAAAGACAATACGTTGGTGTCTACAATGGATTCAAGGTCCTCCACCAAGTTGTTTATTGTTTCAAAAGCATGCCGAGTGAAACCAAATCCGTCCCACCTTCACTTTCTCGACATCGCCACGCTTGGCAGCACCGAAAAGATTTGTTTGGCCTTTGGACAATATTCTATTCGGATCCATGCCCAACTCCAACGCATACTTTAGAGCTGGGCCTGAGCACCCACGGAGGTCGAACAAGGAGCGGTATGGAGCCATCGATTGCTACCAGTGTTGATGATACGCCGTGTCTCAACATCTATGCACCTTTATACATGGTACTCAACTTCTTGGGTCCTTCCATCTTGATCGTCCAAATTTGTTTTGTTTGTAGAGGGGAGGACTACAAAGCTATGGAATACTGTGGGGCTGTCCTTTCAAAGATTCAAGGCTAAAGAACCTGCTCTTGGCTGTCCCAACATATGTGAAGTGCCATGGACTGCCAACCCTCAGCATCCTCATCCGCCAACACTGGGCCAACACAAAGGCTAAAATTGTCTGGCCTGTAGCGGAGGCAAAGATGTCACCTCCCATGTTGCTCAGCATATCTGTTGTCGCACCTTTCTGAACGAGGTGCTTCCTCAGTGCACCAAGGACTGCATAGCCACTTTTGCAGATTGCGTTAGTAGCCCCGATTCATGGCCATTTGCCCCAAAAAGTCATTCATATTTCCGTAGCAGGGCCTGTTCATGGTGTATCCCTGTGTGTAGAGTCACCCACATTGAAGATGGAAGTAGGGTGGACAAACTATCACTTTTTAAAGTATGGGCCGACCAAGAGGGAACCACGAAATACGACCTTTCCTGCAGACCCAGCGTCATCATTTGCACTTTTCCAGCTTCTGCTGCCCAGAAGATGGGCGTGAAGCCGTTCTGGTCCCTCGCGTCAATTGCTGCGCCATGTTTCAGCAGCGCTTCAGTGGCACCAATCTCAGCTCGATAGCATCAAGAAGTTGGAGGACTTCAAGCAGAGATCCCCCAAACTCAACCCGACAAAATATTCAATCATACAGCAAAAGCACATGCAGAAACCGAGCAAGGATGTTTTTTGGTGCATCGCACATACTTGTTCCTTAAGCTGAGTCACATGGCCAGCCCGCACTGAATAAAATACAGGCGTTTGCCCAGAGGTGTCAGTGTGGCTCACAGAACACCCCGATGCGATGAGGAACTCACACCTCAGCACATATTCTGACCACTGTGGGAATGGGCAAGATGTGGGGTAGGAAATGCAATCGATCACATTCAAGAGTACGGTCTCATCCAACAAACATTGATTTTCTGGACAGCCTGCAAGCATCCAACACGAGGAGATTCCCAAGGCCCTAGAATATTGGAGTCAAGCGGCAGCTGTGAGTGCCCGTGCTTCGCAGCGTAGAAACACGCATTCTGTTGGCGATTGTCGATCACCGCGGCGGACACCCCATGCTGTCTAACCAGCAGCTCAGTGATCTGGCCAGAAACAGTGGTGGATCCCCAAATCAAACAGCGGCCACGCAACGGTTTCCCAAGGTTTTCGTCACCATACGGCCCCGATCCAGGTCCAGCCTCAAATGCCTGCTGCCCACTGACATGTTGGGCCGCTTCGAAGAGCAGCGTCTGCCCAATTCGGTTCACCTGTGCAATGATTGATGTGATGGTGTCCCTGGGTCAACATGGGCACGAGGGATTCGGAACTCCCAACTTTCAATCGTGAAACTGGAATCGCAAGGGCCAATTGGCGGCCAACATACTCCAATTTGAAGGTGTCTCTGTGTGTGGTGTGTGTGTGTGTGACTGCGAATCAGCGCAAACTTTTCTGCACCCGAGCAGCGAAACACGCTGAGTAAATTGCAAGGCGAATGGGTGTGATGCTCTCAATGTTTAGTTTTGACACTAGAGAAGGCCTATGGATTGGAAAGGCATGTTGGACTTGGATGTGATGTCTTTATCTAACACTTCTGGGATTTCCACCTTGTCAAGTGTCGTTTCAAAGGGACAGTTTCATGGGTTGCCCCAGTTGTAGTGTCGCAGTGGTTGGAAAGAAGACAAGAAACAGGAAAAGTCCCTCAAGGAGCTTGCGATAAAAAAAGTCAACAGCTCCTGTTACAGATGGTTTTATGTGGAAGCGTGTTACGCGTGCCACACGCATGCGGGTTGAAACCAATCTACTACGAGCTGTTCCAATTGAAGTTCCACAGCACAAGTTCGGCCACTGGACTGTCACGATCCGTTTATCAACATGAAAACTTCCCTCCTACCCGCGCCATTTCAGTCAGTTGAAGCCTGCTTTGGGTTCGCCTTATGCCGGGCGACGAGATCGTCCACCACCTGTTTGGGGTGTTTGGGGTGCAACGAACAAAACACTGCCAAAAAGGGATCAGCCGAACCAAACAAAAAGATGCTGAAACAAAAACTAATCCGAACAAATCAGAACAGCGTTGGTTTGACATGACCCCTGGCAATGCCTGAAAACTCTGCACAAAAAAAAATCCTGCATTGGGAAGTCAGGCGTATCATCCTTCCTGCAATCTTGGCAAAGTCAAGCTATGTGCATCAATTTTTGAAACCTGCCCACTCATAGAGCGGCTACTTGGTCTAATTTACAACAGCAACGGAAATTGGCAGATGGGCTGGCCATTCAACACAGCCATCCGAGTCTTGAGACTATCTGACCCGCCTCAACCCAAACATCAAGCTGCCGGTTTACCACTGTCCCCCCTGCCCCACACCTTGACGGTGTGGCTTTTTACCGCCGCCCACAGCAGCTGGTCAACCAGCCTTTGAGCCTCATTGACAGATGGAAAAGCCATGGCTTGGATACGCCGGTCACTTGTTCGCGCCCAACTGCTAACCAGCCACGGGTCCAGACCCTGAGCTCACGAAGGCTACGGAAAAAAGAAGCGACCCAATCTCGGGCAAAACCATGGTTCGAAGTGGATATTCAATCATTGCAACTTGCACCCGACAGTTGGTTTCCCGTGCCAAAAACATGAAACATACATGTCCTGCCTTCGTTTTTTGGACTCACACGAATAACTATTCTCCCGACTGTGAGGCACCCCATCCACCCAAAGCCGCTGTCCGGCAATTCTCTTCTTGAGAAACAAAGCTGGAGCAAGCGCCTGCGAAATGCAGGAAATGACAGAAATCAGCGTGCCAAAGTGGATCACAGGGGGATGACCCGTGCAATTTATAGGTAGTTGGCAGGTGCGTAAACCACTCAAGTCATGGGAGTGGAAGTGTCTCTGAAGGTAATGATCTATTGGCTTACCAGCTTTCAAGTTCATTTATAAGGATTATTCAAAAAATCTTGACTGTGCGGTCCCATTGACTGGAAAGCTATGCATTCCTTGAAGTGAATGTGTAAGGTGCAGGGAAACCCGGGTGCACTGACCGTTTGCTGAGCAAACACTATCCCAGTTTTTGCCATAGAACACTGGTTTGGGTCCTGTACTGAGATTCAGACCAACTCATCATAACTCATCAGTGAGCCGGCCCGGACCAAGTAACTAGATTAAAGAAGCAGTTTGGAACAAAGTACGTCGCACTGCAAGTCAGGACCCAGCGGCTTGGTGTCGGGAAAAAACCGTTTGAGTTTGACTACATGCACGCCATGAAACAGAAATCTCTTCTGCACTCAAGCAGCGGTACCATCTCGTGCGAGAGCTTGCAAGAATGGATGTGACTCATGACATGATGGTATCAAGTTTAGCTTTCACACCAATAGGAGCATGAATTAATGTAAATTATCGCGGCACTAGATTCACTAGATCCTGTTTTTTCCCTTTTCTTGTCCTTGGATATTCAACTTCTCAATTGTCGCTTCAAAATTCAAAACAAACAATTTCATGGGAGCCAGGTGCCGCAAACAACAAAGCCAGTTTCTGTCCGGCCTGATGCAGGTATCAACAATTTCTTCAAGCCTATTGCTTTGTTGAGTCTCAAGTGTTTTGGTTACCCCCCAATGGTATTGTGGTGAAAACCCTGCCTACATCCATGTTGCTGCCAAAGCTAAAATGCCCGAAGGAGGTTGTTTCAAAAGTTGCTTCACAACTCCACTGTCAACATCCACCCTAGCGCGAAGTGTCCCTGCAAGGGCGGTGAAACAAAGATCCGAAGCTCACATTCTGCTGAAGTACAGTCATTGGATCGCATCCGCATTGAAATCAGTTCACAGTTCAAATTCTGAAGAAGAATGCATCACGCCCAAAGAATTAAGAAAGGATGCGGACATGAAGAAACACAATTGAAATGTCTGGGAACGAATCTATTCCACATTGGGCTCGAATCGCCAGCAGTGAAGAGTCATAGGGCTGGCCAAAGGAGGTTGTTTCGCTGCTTCAACACTCCACTGTCAACATCCCCAGCACAAAGTGTCACTGTGACGGTGAAACAAAAATCAAACGATTGCATGAAATCCCGTGAGCAAATTTCCAATACTGAATGGATCCGCATAGAAATCAATTCGCTGTTCAAATTCTGAAGAAGAATGCATCATGCCAAAAGGATTAAGAAAGGACTCTGACTCTGATCTGAAAAAAATATCATTGAAATGTCATCGAACGAATCTATTCCACATCATGCATATACTTTAAGGAGACGTTCAATGCACAGCCCCATGGCCCCATGACTCCTCAGCGGCGCTTCGGGCCCTGTAAAAATTGGCATTGATCCACAAGCTCATGCCACTTGTCAGTGAATTTCCTTGGGATGGCAATGTGGGAAAGTCAACGAACCTGTCCAAATGGAAATTTGTCACGTCTCCAATGAAATGGGCGAGTGGTGGCGGGGTCTCGGTTTGAAAGAAAGCATTTGATTTCAAATGAACGCTCCGGTGAAGTACTAGCTCGTATATCAGGATGTCCCTTTAAATGGGCTTGCAGCCAGCTCGTGGGCACAACTGGGAACACAAACGCTTGACGGTGGGACTGCATCTAGACACTACTTTCCAGGCCTCTTGCAAAGTCTGGCCCTGGGTCACTGAACTCCGAAAATCAAATACAGCTACGAGTACCTGTTTGTGGAATTATGTGGATTTATTCTTGGCCTTAGTTCGTACAGGGGAACAACTCTTTGGACAAGTACTGAAACAGCACGAAAATTGTTGCCCTTTCGGCTCTCATCTCGTATCCCAATATGTTTGTTGATTGTACACCCACATTTTGGGTCCGTGTTTGGTGTTTACATTCACTGACGTTCACCCAGCGTCTCAGAATCCTGAGGAATCCTTTGTCTTCCTTCTTGGCACACGAGCTCGTAGCGTTGCCTGTCAGCCAAAATCATACACCCTGGACCACCCCGGGTTAAATTGTATCAACTTGTTCTGTGTTGAGGTCCAAACATCCAACTCTTGCCGGCAACCCATACGTTGAAACCGCCCTCAAGCGCCTCTTGGCTGCCGGCTCCTCCGCCGAAGATGGACGCTTTCTCGAGCTTGATGACGCCGCTGCAGCTCTGGTTGCAGCTGCGGCTCTCTCAGCTCGAGCTCTTTCTTGCTCCTGCGAAGTTCCAAGAAAAAGCATGGGAACATGGTTTGATATGTTTTGATTACTTTGTTCATATTTTGTGCGTGCCGCTGCATGCCAATGCCCATGCTTTGGATGGCTGGAACTCATCTCTCGAAAAGAGTGGCCCAACGAGATGGCGACCCCAGTTGCTCCTCCGCCTTCTTCTGCGCCTTTGCCAGTTTTTCCTCGCGCTTTCGCAGCTGTGCAGCAGCGGCGCGCTGCTTTTTCTGTGCGGCTTCAATTGCCTTCTGCTGCTTGCGCTCTGCATCCCCCCTCAGCAAGCAGGGCTCGGGAACCAGGGACCTGGTAAACCAGGGCCCTCCATGATGCTCTCTGATATGAACTGATGATTCTCAACCATTTTGAGATAATTCGAGCTCACAGCAGGATGAACAGTCTTGAACCAAGTTGCAGCAGTTTCACAATATCTTTGTATTCATCGAGTTTTTCAAGCTCCAGCATGTACTGCCGGGCTGTTCTTCCATGGTTGTCCTTGGTGGCGGAAACAGTATGAATTCTTGCAGCGCCACTCCACAAATGGCTCAGGAACGAACTCCGGCAAAAACAAACAACCGGCCCACCAAAATTCCTTTGCACCTCTCCCACCCCAACACCATCAATCCGTTGAGAGGAATGAATGGCGCCAAGTGCCAAGCATCTTTGATCAAGGCATCAGCCTTGTACTTTCCTAGTAGCACATGCGTAACTGTGCATCCCCCATGCGCTGCGGCATAAAAAAGGCCTCGATCTCGATCGATGCAGATCACCCAGATCAGCTTTGCATGATTGAATACTTGAGAGAGGGAGGCCACAATGAATTTCCAGGGTCCACCAACGTCATGGACGAAACAGGCTAAAGTTTAAAATAATCGAAAATTCAGACTGTATACCCTGCAGCACATCAAACACTGCGTCAAGAGACACCATTCTGACAGGTTCTACATACACTCACTCTCAGCCACATATCTCTGATCGATTGTCTACCAACTCTAGTTGCCCTTGTCAACTGCAGCTGAGACGCATGTTTGTCCATATTCGTCTCGATGGTTGAGATCTGCGTTGTGGGTCTCAAATAAGACCTATCACAAGACTTGCCAGTCCAAAGCGGGGCAGTGCAACCGCAAATCATTTCTGGAAGGATGGTAAGGAAACCTTGTTGGTGACATAGACCCAACCTCTTCCAAAGTCTGAGTCGATTAAGATAAGATGTTTTATGTTAAGCCAGCAATCAAAGACAATACGTTGGTGTCTACAATGGATTCAAGGTCCTCCACCAAGTTGTTTATTGTTTCAAAAGCATGCCGAGTGAAACCAAATCCGTCCCACCTTCACTTTCTCGACATCGCCACGCTTGGCAGCACCGAAAAGATTTGTTTGGCCTTTGGACAATATTCTATTCGGATCCATGCCCAACTCCAACGCATACTTTAGAGCTGGGCCTGAGCACCCACGGAGGTCGAACAAGGAGCGGTATGGAGCCATCGATTGCTACCAGTGTTGATGATACGCCGTGTCTCAACATCTATGCACCTTTATACATGGTACTCAACTTCTTGGGTCCTTCCATCTTGATCGTCCAAATTTGTTTTGTTTGTAAAGGGGAGGACTACAAAGCTATGGAATACCGTGGGGCTGTCCTTTCAAAGATTCAAGGCTAAAGAACCTGCTCTTGGCTGTCCCAACATATGTGATGTGCCATGGACTGCCAACCCTCAGCATCCTCATCCGCCAACACTGGGCCAACACAAAGGCTAAAATTGTCTGGCCTGTAGCGGAGGCAAAGATGTCACCTCCCATGTTGCTCAGCATATCTGTTGTCGCACCTTTCTGAACGAGGTGCTTCCTCAGTGCACCAAGGACTGCATAGCCACTTTTGCAGATTGCGTTAGTAGCCCCGATTCATGGCCATTTGCCCCAAAAAGTCATTCATATTTCCGTAGCAGGGCCTGTTCATGGTGTATCCCTGTGTGTAGAGTCACCCACATTGAAGATGGAAGTAGGGTGGACAAACTATCACTTTTTAAAGTATGGGCCGACCAAGAGGGAACCACGAAATACGACCTTTCCTGCAGACCCAGCATCATCATTTGCACTTTTCCAGCTTCTGCTGCCCAGAAGATGGGCGTGAAGCCGTGCTGGTCCCTCGCGTCAATTGCTGCGCCATGTTTCAGCAGCGCTTCAGTGGCACCAATCTCAGCGCGATAGCATCAAGAAGTTGGAGGACTTCAAAGGTTCACAAAATGCTCGACTACAGCAAGCATGAGCAGAGATCCCCCAAACTCAACCCGACAAAATATTCAATCATACAGCAAAAGCACATGCAGAAACCGAGCAAGGATGTTTTTTGGTGCATCGCACATACTTGTTCCTTAAGCTGAGTCACATGGCCAGCCCGCACTGAATAAAATACAGGCGTTTGCCCAGAGGTGTCAGTGTGGCTCACAGAACACCCAGATGCGATGAGGAACTCACACCTCAGCACATATTCTGACCACTGTGGGAATGGGCAAGATGTGGGGCAGGAAATGCAATTGATCACATTCAAGAGTAGGGTCTCATCCAACAAACATTGATTTTCTGGACAGCCTGGAAGCATCCAACACGAGGAGATTCCCAAGGCCCTAGAATATTGGAGTCAAGCGGCAGCTGTGAGTGCCCGTGCTTCGCAGCGTAAAAACACGCATTCTGTTGGCGATTATCGATCACCGCGGCGGACACCCCATGCTGTCTAACCAGCAGCTCAGTGATCTGGCCAGAAACAGTGGTGGATCCCCAAATGAAACAGCGGCCACGCAACGGTTTCCCAAGGTTTTCGTCACCATACGGCCCCGATCCAGGTCCAGCCTCAAATGCCTGCTGCCCACTGACATGTTGGGCCGCTTCGAAGAGCAGCGTCTGCCCAATTCGGTTCGCCTGTGCAATGATTGATGTGATGGTGTCCCTGGGTCAACATGGGCACGAGGGATTCGGAACTCCCAACTTTCAATCGTGAAACTGGAATCGCAAGGGCATGCAAGGGCCAATTGGCGGCCAACATACTCCAATTTGAAGGTGTCTCTGTGTGTGGGTGTGTGTGTGTGACTGCGAATCAGCGCAAACTTTTCTGCACCCGAGCAGCGAAACACGCTGAGTAAATTGCAAGGCGAATGGGTGTGATGCTCTCAATGTTTAGTTTTGACACTAGAGAAGGCCTATGGATTGGAAAGGCATGTTGGACTTGGATGTGATGTCTTTATCTAACACTTCTGGGATTTCCACCTTGTCAAGTAAGTGTCGTTTCAAAGGGACAGTTTCATGGGTTGCCCCAGTTGTAGTGTCGCAGTGGTTGGAAAGAAGACAAGAAACAGGAAAAGTCCCTCAAGGAGCTTGCGATAAAAAAAGTCAACAGCTCCTGTTACAGATGGTTTTATGTGGAAGCGTGTTACGCGTGCCACACGCATGCGGGTTGAAACCAATCTACTACGAGCTGTTCCAATTGAAGTTCCACAGCACAAGTTCGGCCACTGGACTGTCACGATCCGTTTATCAACATGAAAACTTCCCTCCTACCCGCGCCATTTCAATCAGTTGAAGCCTGCTTTGGGTTCGCCTTATGCCGGGCGACGAGATCGTCCACCACCTGTTTGGGGTGTTTGGGGTGCAACGAACAAAACACTGCCAAAAAGGGATCAGCCGAACCAAACAAAAAGATGCTGAAACAAAAACTAATCCGAACAAATCAGAACAGCGTTGGTTTGACATGACCCCTGGCAATGCCTGAAAACTCTGCACAAAAAAAAACCTGCATTGGGAAGTCAGGCGTATCATCCTTCCTGCAATCTTGGCAAAGTCAAGCTATGTGCATCAATTTTTGAAACCTGCCCACTCATAGAGCGGCTACTTGGTCTAATTTACAACAGCAACGGAAATTGGCAGATGGGCTGGCCATTCAACACAGCCATCCGAGTCTTGAGACTATCTGACCCGCCTCAACCCAAACATCAAGCTGCCGGTTTACCACTGTCCCCCCTGCCCCACACCTTGACGGTGTGGCTTTTTACCGCCGCCCACAGCAGCTGGTCAACCAGCCTTTGAGCCTCATTGACAGATGGAAAAGCCATGGCTTGGATACGCCGGTCACTTGTTCGCGCCCAACTGCTAACCAGCCACGGGTCCAGACCCTGAGCTCACGAAGGCTACGGAAAAAAGAAGCGACCCAATCTCGGGCAAACCATGGTTCGAAGTGGATATTCAAGCATTGCAACTTGCACCCGACAGTTGGTTTCCCGTGCCAAAAACATGAAACATACATGTCCTGCCTTCGTTTTTTGGACTCACACGAATAACTATTCTCCCGACTGTGAGGCACCCCATCCACCCAAAGCCGCTGTCCGGCAATTCTCTTCTTGAGAAACAAAGCTGGAGCAAGCGCCTGCGAAATGCAGGAAATGACAGAAATCAGCGTGCCAAAGTGGATCACAGGGGGATGACCCGTGCAATTTATAGGTAGTTGGCAGGTGCGTAAACCACTCAAGTCATGGGAGTGGAAGTGTATCTGAAGGTAATGATCTATTGGCGGACCAGCTTTCAAGTTCATTTTTAAGGATTATTCAAAAAATCTTGACTGTGCGGTCCCATTGACTGGAAAGCTATGCATTCCTTGAAGTGAATGTGTAAGGTGCAGGGAAACCCGGGTGCACTGACCGTTTGCTGAGCAAACACTATCCCAGTTTTTGACATAGAACACTGGTTTGGGTCCTGTACTGAGATTCAGACCAACTCATCATAACTCATCAGTGAGCCGGCCCGGACCAAGTAACTAGATTAAAGAAGCAGTTTGGAACAAAGTACGTCGCACTGCAAGTCAGGACCCAGCGGCTTGGTGTCGGGAAAAAACCGTTTGAGTTTGACTACATGCACGCCATGAAACAGAAATCTCTTCTGCACTCAAGCAGCGGTACCATCTCGTGCGAGAGCTTGCAAGAATGGATGTGACTCATGACATGATGGTATCAAGTTTAGCTTTCACACCAATAGGAGCATGAATTAATGTAAATTATCGCGGCACTAGATTCACTAGATCCTGTTTTTTCCCTTTTCTTGTCCTTGGATATTCAACTTCTCAATTGTCGCTTCAAAATTCAAAACAAACAATTTCATGGGAGCCAGGTGCCGCAAACAACAAAGCCAGTTTCTGTCCGGCCTGATGCAGGTGTCAACAATTTCTTCAAGCCTATTGCTTTGTTGAGTCACAAGTGTTTTGGTTACCCCCCAATGGTATTGTGGTGAAAACCCTGCCTACATCCATGTTGCTGCCAAAGCTAAAATGCCCGAAGGAGGTTGTTTCAAAAGTTGCTTCACAACTCCACTGTCAACATCCACCCTAGCGTGAAGTGTCCCTGCAAGGGCAGTGAAACAAAGATCCGAAGCTCACATTCTGCTGAAGTACAGTCATTGGATCGCATCCGCATTGAAATCAGTTCACAGTTCAAATTCTGAAGAAGAATGCATCACGCCCAAACAATTAAGAAAGGATGCGGACATGAAGAAACACAATTGAAATGTCTGGGAACGAATCTATTCCACATTGGGCTCGAATCGCCAGCAGTGAAGAGTCATAGGGCTGGCCAAAGGAGGTTGTTTCGCTGCTTCAACACTCCACTGTCAACATCCCCAGCACAAAGTGTCACTGTGACGGTGAAACAAAAATCAAACGATTGCATGAAATTCCGTGAGCAAATTTCCAATACTGAATGGATCCGCATAGAAATCAATTCGCTGTTCAAATTCTGAAGAAGAATGCATCATGCCAAAAGGATTAAGAAAGGACTCTGACTCTGATCTGAAAAAAATATCATTGAAATGCTATCGAACGAATCTATTCCACATCATGCATATACTTTAAGGAGACGTTCAATGCACAGCCCCATGGCCCCATGACTCCTCAGCGGCGCTTCGGGCCCTGCAAGAATTGGCATTGATCCACAAGCTCTTGCCACTTGTCAGTGAATTTCCTTGGGATGGCAATGTGGGAAAGTCAACGAACCTGTCCAAATGGATATTTGTCAAGTCTCCAATGAAATGGGCGAGTGGTGGCGGGGTCTCGGTTTGAAAGAAAGCATTTGATTTTAAATGAATGCTCCGGTGAAGTACTAGCTTGTATATCAGGATGTCCCTTTAAATGGGCTTGCAGCCAGCTCGTGGGCACAACTGGGAACACAAACGCTTGACGGTGGGACTGCATCTAGACACTACTTTCCAGGCTTCTTGCAAAGTCTGGCCCTGCGTCACTGAACTCCGAAACTCAAATACAGCTACGAGTACCTGTTTGTGGAATTATGTGGATTTATTCTTGGCCTTAGTTCGTACAGGGGAACAACTATTTGGACAAGTATTGAAACAGCACGAAAATTGTTGCCCTATAGGCTCTCATCTCGTATCCCAATATGTTTGTTGATTGTACACCCACACATTTTGGGTCCGTGTTTGGTGTTTACATTCACTGATGTTCACCCAGCGTCTCAGAATCCTGAGGAATCCTTTGTCTTCCTTCTTGGCACACGAGCTCGTAGCGTTGCCTGTCAGCCAAAATATGCAAAAATCACACACCCTGGATCACCCTGGATTAAATTGTATCAACTTGTTCTGTCTTGAGGTCCAAACATCCAACTCTTGCCGGCAACCCATACGTTGAAACCGCCCTCAAGCGCCTCTTGGCTGCCGGCTCCTCCGCCGAAGATGGACGCTTTCTCGAGCTTGATGACGCCGCTGCAGCTCTGGTTGCAGCTGCCGCTCTCTCAGCTCGAGCTCGCTCTTGCTCCTGGGAAGTTCCGACGAGAAAGGGCAGGAACATGTTTTGATATGTTTTGATTACTTTGTGCATATTTTGTGCGTGCCGCTGCATGCCAATGCCCATGCTTTGGATGGCTGGAACTCATCTCTCAAAAAGAGTGGCCCAACGAGATGGCGACCCCAGTTGCTCCTCCGCCTTCTTCTGCGCCTTTGCCAGTTTTTCCTCGCGCTTTCGCAGCTGTGCAGCAGCGGCGCGCTGCCTTTTCTGTGCGGCTTCAATTGCCTTCTGCTGCTTGCGCTCTGCATCCCCCCTCAGCAAGCAGGGCTCGGGAACCAGGGACCTGGTAAACAGGGCCCTCCATGATGCTCTCTGACATGAACTGATGATTCTCAACCATTTTGAAATGATTCGAGCTCACAGCAGGATGAACAGTCTTGAACCAAGTTGCAGCAGTTTCACAATATCCTTGTGTTGCTCGGGCTTTTCAAGCTCCTTTGTGTACTGCCGGGCAGTTCTTCCACGGTTGTCCTTGATGGCGGAAACAGTATGAATTCTTGCAGCGCCGCTCCACAAATGGCTCAGGAACGAACTCCGGCAAAAACAAACAACCGGCCCACCAATATTCCTTTGCACCTCTCCGACCCCAACACCATCAATCCGCTTGTAGGAATGAATGGCGCCAAGCATCTTTGATCAAGGCATCAGCCTTGTACTTTCCTAGTAGCAGATGCGTAATTGTGCATCCCCCATGCGCTGCGGCATAAAAAAGGCCTCGATCTCGATCAATTCACGTCACCCAGATCAGCTTTGCATGATTGAATACTTGAGAGAGGGAGGCCACAATGAATTTCCAGGGTCCACCAACGTCATGGACGAAACAGGCTAAAGTTTAAAATAATCGAAAATTCAAACTGTATACCCTGCAGCACATCAAACACTGTGTCAAGAGACACCATTCTGACAGGTTCTACATACACTCACTCTCAGCCACATATCTCTGATCGATTGTCTACCAACTCTAGTTGCCCTTGTCAACTGCAGCTGAGACGCATGTTTGTCCATATTCGTCTTTATGGTTGAGATCTGCGTTGTGGGTCTCAACTAAGACCTATCACAAGACTTGCCAGTCCAAAGCGGGGCAGTGCAACCGCAAATCATTTCTGGAAGGATGGCAAGGAAACCTTGTTGGTGACATAGACCCAACCTCTTCCAAAGTCTGAGTCGATTAAGATAAGATGTCTTATGTTAAGCCAGCAAACAAAGACAATACGTTGGTGTCTACAATGGATTCAAGGTCCTCCACCAAGTTGTTTATTGTTTCAAAAGCATGCCGAGTGAAACCAAATCCGTCCCACCTTCACTTTCTCGACATCGCCACGCTTGGCAGCACCGAAAAGATTTGTTTGGCCTTTGGACAATATTCTATTCGGATCCATGCCCAACTCCAACGCATACTTTAGAGCTGGGCCTGAGCACCCACGGAGGTCGAACAAGGAGCGGTATGGAGCCATCGATTGCTACCAGTGTTGATGATACGCCGTGTCTCAACATCTATGCACCTTTATACATGGTACTCAACTTCTTGGGTCCTTCCATCTTGATCGTCCAAATTTGTTTTGTTTGTAGAGGGGAGGACTACAAAGCTATGGAATACTGTGGGGCTGTCCTTTCAAAGATTCAAGGCTAAAGAACCTGCTCTTGGCTGTCCCAACATATGTGAAGTGCCATGGACTGCCAACCCTCAGCATCCTCATCCGCCAACACTGGGCCAACACAAAGGCTAAAATTGTCTGGCCTGTAGCGGAGGCAAAGATGTCACCTCCCATGTTGCTCAGCATATCTGTTGTCGCACCTTTCTGAACGAGGTGCTTCCTCAGTGCACCAAGGACTGCATAGCCACTTTTGCAGATTGCGTTAGCAGCCCCGATTCATGGCCATTTGCCCCAAAAAGTCATTCATATTTCCGTAGCAGGGCCTGTTTATGGTGTATCCCTGTGTGTAGAGTCACCCACATTGAAGATGGAAGTAGGGTGGACAAACTATCACTTTTTAAAGTATGGGCCGACCAAGAGGGAACAACGAAATACGACCTTTCCTGCAGACCCAGCGTCATCATTCGCACTTTTCCAGCTTCTGCTGCCCAGAAGATGGGCGTGAAGCCGTTCTGGTCCCTCGCGTCAATTGCTGCGCCATGTTTCAGCAGCGCTTCAGTGGCACCAATCTCAGCTCGATAGCATCAAGAAGTTGGAGGACTTCAAGCAGAGATCCCCCAAACTCAACCCGACAAAATATTCAATCATACAGCAAAAGCACATGCAGAAACCGAGCAAGGATGTTTTTTGGTGCATCGCACATACTTGTTCCTTAAGCTGAGTCACATGGCCAGCCCGCACTGAATAAAATACAGGCGTTTGCCCAGAGGTGTCAGTGTGGCTCACAGAACACCCCGATGCGATGAGGAACTCACACCTCAGCACATATTCTGACCACTGCGGGAATGGGCAAGATGTGGGGCAGGAAATGCAATCGATCACATTCAAGAGTACGGTCTCATCCAACAAACATTGATTTTCTGGACAGCCTGCAAGCATCCAACACGAGGAGATTCCCAAGGCCCTAGAATATTGGAGTCAAGCGGCAGCTGTGAGTGCCCGTGCTTCGCAGCGTAAAAACACGCATTCTGTTGGCGATTATCGATCACCGCGGCGGACACCCCATGCTGTCTAACCAGCAGCTCAGTGATCTGGCCAGAAACAGTGGTGGATCCCCAAATCAAACAGCGGCCACGCAACGGTTTCCCAAGGTTTTCGTCACCATACGGCCCCGATCCAGGTCCAGCCTCAAATGCCTGCTGCCCACTGACATGTTGGGCCGCTTCGAAGAGCAGCGTCTGCCCAATTCGGTTCACCTGTGCAATGATTGATGTGATGGTGTCCCTGGGTCAACATGGGCACGAGGGATTCGGAACTCCCAACTTTCAATCGTGAAACTGGAATCGCAAGGGCCAATTGGCGGCCAACATACTCCAATTTGAAGGTGTCTGTGTGGGGGTGTGTGTGTGTGACTGCGAATCAGCGGAAACTTTTCTGCACCCGAGCAGCGAAACACGCTGAGTAAATTGCAAGGCGAATGGGTGTGATGCTCTCAATGTTTAGCTTTGACACTAGAGAAGGCCTATGGATTGGAAAGGCATGTTGGACTTGGATGTGATGTCTTTATCTAACACTTCTGGGATTTCCACCTTGTCAAGTGTCGTTTCAAAGGGACAGTTTCATGGGTTGCCCCAGTTGTAGTGTCGCAGTGGTTGAAAAGAAGACAAGAAACAGGAAAAGTCCCTCAAGGAGCTTGCGATAAAAAAAAGTCAACAGCTCCTGTTACAGATGGTTTTATGTGGAAGCGTGTTACGCGTGCCACACGCATGCGGGTTGAAACCAATCTACTACGAGCTGTTCCAATTGAAGTTCCACAGCACAAGTTCGGCCACTGGACTGTCACGATCCGTTTATCAACATGAAAACTTCCCTCCTACCCGCGCCATTTCAATCAGTTGAAGCCTGCTTTGGGTTCGCCTTATGCCGGGCGACGAGATCGTCCACCACCTGTTTGGGGTGTTTGGGGTGCAACGAACAAAACACTGCCAAAAAGGGATCAGCCGAACCAAACAAAAAAATGCTGAAACGAAAACTAATCCGAACAAATCAGAACAGCGTTGGTTTGACATGACCCCTGGCAATGCCTGAAAACTCTGCACAAAAAAAATCCTGCATTGGGAAGTCAGGCGTATCATCCTTCCTGCAATCTTGGCAAAGTCAAGCTATGTGCATCAATTTTTGAAACCTGCCCACTCATAGAGCGGCTACTTGGTCTAATTTACAACAGCAACGGAAATTGGCAGATGGGCTGGCCATTCAACACAGCCATCCGAGTCTTGAGACTATCTGACCCGCCTCAACCCAAACATCAAGCTGCCGGTTTACCACTGTCCCCCCTGCCCCACACCTTGACGGTGTGGCTTTTTACCGCCGCCCACAGCAGCTGGTCAACCAGCCTTTGAGCCTCATTGACAGATGGAAAAGCCATGGCTTGGATACGCCGGTCACTTGTTCGCGCCCAACTGCTAACCAGCCACGGGTCCAGACCCTGAGCTCACGAAGGCTACGGAAAAAAGAAGCGACCCAATCTCGGGCAAACCATGGTTCGAAGTGGATATTCAAGCATTGCAACTTGCACCCGACAGTTGGTTTCCCGTGCCAAAAACATGAAACATACATGTCCTGCCTTCGTTTTTTGGACTCACACGAATAACTATTCTCCCGACTGTGAGGCACCCCATCCACCCAAAGCCGCTGTCCGGCAATTCTCTTCTTGAGAAACAAAGCTGGAGCAAGCGCCTGCGAAATGCAGGAAATGACAGAAATCAGCGTGCCAAAGTGGATCACAGGGGGATGACCCGTGCAATTTATAGGTAGTTGGCAGGTGCGTAAACCACTCAAGTCATGGGAGTGGAAGTGTATCTGAAGGTAATGATCTATTGGCGGACCAGCTTTCAAGTTCATTTTTAAGGATTATTCAAAAAATCTTGACTGTGCGGTCCCATTGACTGGAAAGCTATGCATTCCTTGAAGTGAATGTGTAAGGTGCAGGGAAACCCGGGTGCACTGACCGTTTGCTGAGCAAACACTATCCCAGTTTTTGACATAGAACACTGGTTTGGGTCCTGTACTGAGATTCAGACCAACTCATCATAACTCATCAGTGAGCCGGCCCGGACCAAGTAACTAGATTAAAGAAGCAGTTTGGAACAAAGTACGTCGCACTGCAAGTCAGGACCCAGCGGCTTGGTGTCGGGAAAAAACCGTTTGAGTTTGACTACATGCACGCCATGAAACAGAAATCTCTTCTGCACTCAAGCAGCGGTACCATCTCGTGCGAGAGCTTGCAAGAATGGATGTGACTCATGACATGATGGTATCAAGTTTAGCTTTCACACTAATAGGAGCATGAATTAATGTAAATTATCGCGGCACTAGATTCACTAGATCCTGTTTTTTCCGTTTTCTTGTCCTTGGATATTCAACTTCTCAATTGTCGCTTCAAAATTCAAAACAAACAATTTCATGGGAGCCAAGTGCCGCAAACAACAAAGCCAGTTTCTGTCCGGCCTGATGCAGGTGTCAACAATTTCTTCAAGCCTATTGCTTTGTTGAGTCTCAAGTGTTTTGGTTACCCCCCAATGGTATTGTGGTGAAAACCCTGCCTACATCCATGTTGCTGCCAAAGCTAAAATGCCCGAAGGAGGTTGTTTCAAAAGTTGCTTCACAACTCCACTGTCAACATCCACCCTAGCGCGAAGTGTCCCTGCAAGGGCGGTGAAACAAAGATCCGAAGCTCACATTCTGCTGAAGTACAGTCATTGGATCGCATCCGCATTGAAATCAGTTCACAGTTCAAATTCTGAAGAAGAATGCATCACGCCCAAAGAATTAAGAAAGGATGCGGACATGAAGAAACACAATTGAAATGTCTGGGAACGAATCTATTCCACATTGGGCTCGAATCGCCAGCAGTGAAGAGTCATAGGGCTGGCCAAAGGAGGTTGTTTCGCTGCTTCAACACTCCACTGTCAACATCCCCAGCACAAAGTGTCACTGTGACGGTGAAACAAAAATCAAACGATTGCATGAAATCCCGTGAGCAAATTTCCAATACGGAATGGATCCGCATAGAAATCAATTCGCTGTTCAAATTCTGAAGAAGAATGCATCATGCCAAAAGGATTAAGAAAGGACTCTGACTCTGATCTGAAAAAAATATCATTGAAATGCTATCGAACGAATCTATTCCACATCATGCATATACTTTAAGGAGACGTTCAATGCACAGCCCCATGGCCCCATGACTCCTCAGCGGCGCTTCGGGCCCTGTAAAAATTGGCATTGATCCACAAGCTCATGCCACTTGTCAGTGAATTTCCTTGGGATGGCAATGTGGGAAAGTCAACGAACCTGTCCAAATGGATATTTGTCAAGTCTCCAATGAAATGGGCGAGTGGTGGCGGGGGCTCGGTTTGAAAGAAAGCATTTGATTTTAAATGAACGCTCCGGTGAAGTACTAGCTTGTATATCAGGATGTCCCTTTAAATGGGCTTGCAGCCAGCTCGTGGGCACAACTGGGAACACAAACGCTTGACGGTGGGACTGCATCTAGACACTACTTTCCAGGCCTCTTGCAAAGTCTGGCCCTGGGTCACTGAACTCCGAAACTCAAATACAGCTACGAGTACCTGTTTGTGGAATTATGTGGATTTATTCTTGGCTTTAGTTCGTACAGGGGAACAACTATTTGGACAAGTATTGAAACAGCACGAAAATTGTTGCCCTATAGGCTCTCATCTCGTATCCCAATATGTTTGTTGATTGTACACCCACACATTTTGGGTCCGTGTTTGGTGTTTACATTCACTGATGTTCACCCAGCGTCTCAGAATCCTGAGGAATCCTTTGTCTTCCTTCTTGGCACACGAGCTCGTAGCGTTGCCTGTCAGCCAAAATATGCAAAAATCACACACCCTGGATCAGACTGGGTTAAATTGTATCAACTTGTTCTGTCTTGAGGTCCAAACATCCAACTCTTGCCGGCAACCCATACGTTGAAGCCGCCCTCAAGCGCCTCTTGGCTGCCGGCTCCTCCGCCGAAGATGGACGCTTTCTCGAGCTTGATGACGCCGCTGCAGCTCTGGTTGCAGCTGCCGCTCTCTCAGCTCGAGCTCGCTCTTGCTCCTGGGAAGTTCCGAGGAGAAAGGGCAGGAACATGTTCTGATATGTTTTGATTACTTTGTGCATATTTTGTGCGTGCCGCTGCATGCCAATGCCCATGCTTTGGATGGCTGGAACTCATCTCTCAAAAAGAGTGGCCCAACGAGATGGCGACCCCAGTTGCTCCTCCGCCTTCTTCTGCGCCTTTGCCAGTTTTTCCTCGCGCTTTCGCAGCTGTGCAGCAGCGGCGCGCTGCCTTTTCTGTGCGGCTTCAATTGCCTTCTGCTGCTTGCGCTCTGCATCCCCCCTCAGCAAGCAGGGCTCGGGAACCAGGGACCTGGTAAACAGGGCCCTCCATGATGCTCTCTGATATGAACTGATGATTCTCAACCATTTTGAGATAATTCGAGCTCACAGCAGGATGAACAGTCTTGAACCAAGTTGCAGCAGTTTCACAATATCCTTATGTTGCTCGGGCTTTGCAAGCTCCAGCATGTACTGCCGGGCTGTTCTTCCATGGTTGTCCTTGGTGGCGGAAACAGTATGAATTCTTGCAGCGCCACTCCACAAATGGCTCAGGAACGAACTCCGGCAAAAACAAACAACCGGCCCACCAATATTCCTTTGCACCTCTCCGACCCCAACACCATCAATCCGCTTGTAGGAATGAATGGCGCCAAGCATCTTTGATCAAGGCATCAGCCTTGTACTGTACTAGTAGCAGATCTGTCACCTTGAGTCCTCCATGCGCTGCGGCATAAAAAAGGCCTCGATCTCGGTCGATGCACGTCACCCGGATCAGCTTTGCATGATTGAATACTTGAGAGAGGGAGGCCACAATGAATTTCCAGGGTCCACCAACGTCATGGACGAAACAGGCGAAAGTTTAAAATAATCGAAAATTCAAAATGTATACCCTGCAGCACAGCAAACACTATGTCAAGAAATACACATTCTGACAGGTTCTATACTCACTCTCGGCCACATATCTCTGATCGATTGTCTACCAACTCTAGTTGCCCTTGTCAACTGCAGCTGAGACGCATGTTTGTCCATATTCGTCTCGATGGTTGAGATCTGCGTTGTGGGTCTCAACCAAGACCTATCACAAGACTTGCCAGTCCAAAGCGGGGCAGTGCAACCGCAAATCATTTCTGGAAGGATGGTAAGGAAACCTTGTTGGTGACATAGACCCAACCTCTTCCAAAGTCTGAGTCGATTAAGACAAGATGTTTTATGTTAAGCCAGCAAACAAAGACAATACGTTGGTGTCTACAATGGATTCAAGGTCCTCCACGAAGTTGTATATTGTTTCAAAAGCATGCCGAGTGAAACCAAATCCGTCCCACCTTCACTTTCTCGACATCGCCACGCTTGGCAGCACCGAAAAGATTTGTTTGGCCTTTGGACAATGTCCTGTTTGGATCCATGCCCAACTCCAACGCATACTTTAGAGCTGGGCCTGAGCACCCACGGAGGTCGAACAAGGAGCGGTATGGAGCCATCGATTGCTACCAGTGTTGATGATACGCCGTGTCTCAACATCTATGCACCTTTATACATGGTACTCAACTTCTTGGGTCCTTCCATCTTGATCGTCCAAATTTGTTTTGTTTGTAAAGGGGAGGACTACAAAGCTATGGAATACTGTGGGGCTGTCCTTTCAAAGATTCAAGGCTAAAGAACCTGCTCTTGGCTGTCCCAACATATGTGAAGTGCCATGGACTGCCAACCCTCAGCATCCTCATCCGCCAACACTGGGCCAACACAAAGGCTAAAATTGTCTGGCCTGTAGCGGAGGCAAAGATGTCACCTCCCATGTTGCTCAGCATATCTGTTGTCGCACCTTTCTGAACGAGGTGCTTCCTCAGTGCACCAAGGACTGCATAGCCACTTTTGCAGATTGCGTTAGTAGCCCCGATTCATGGCCATTTGCCCCAAAAAGTCATTCATATTTCCGTAGCAGGGCCTGTTCATGGTGTATCCCTGTGTGTGGAGTCACCCACATTGAAGATGGAAGTAGGGTGGACAAACTATCACTTTTTAAAGTATGGGCCGACCAAGAGGGAACCACGAAATACGACCTTTCCTGCAGACCCAGCGTCATCATTTGCACTTTTCCAGCTTCTGCTGCCCAGAAGATGGGCGTGAAGCCGTTCTGGTCCCTCGCGTCAATTGCTGCGCCATGTTTCAGCAGCGCTTCAGTGGCACCAATCTCAGCTCGATAGCATCAAGAAGTTGGAGGACTTCAAGCAGAGATCCCCTAAACTCAACCCGACAAAATATTCAATCATACAGCAAAAGCACATGCAGAAACCGAGCAAGGATGTTTTTTGGTGCATCGCCGCATCGCACATACTGGTTCCTTAAGCTGAGTCACATGGCCAGCCCGCACTGAATAAAATACAGGCGTTTGCCCAGAGGTGTCAGTGTGGCTCACAGAACACCCCGATGCGATGAGGAACTCACACCTCAGCACATATTCTGACCACTGCGGGAATGGGCAAGATGTGGGGCAGGAAATGCAATCGATCACATTCAAGAGTAGGGTCTCATCCAACAAACATTGATTTTCTGGACAGCCTGCAAGCATCCAACACGAGGAGATTCCCAAGGCCCTAGAATATTGGAGTCAAGCGGCAGCTGTGAGTGCCCGTGCTTCGCAGCGTAGAAACACGCATTCTGTTGGCGATTATCGATCACCGCGGCGGACACCCGATGCTGTCTAACGAGCAGCTCAGTGATCTGGCCAGAAACGGTGGTGGATCCCCAAATCAAACAGCGGCCACGCAACGGTTTCCCAAGGTTTTCGTCACCCTACGACCCCCATCCAGGTCCAGCCTCAAATGCCTGCTGCCCACTGACATGTTGGGCCGCTTCGAAGAGCAGCGTCTGCCCAATTCGGTTCACCTGTGCAATGATTGATGTGATGGTGTCCCTGGGTCAACATGGGCACGAGGGGTTCGGAACTCCCAACTTTCAACCGTGAAACTGGAATCACCTGAGCCAACATACTCCAATTTGAAGGTGTCTGTGTGTGTGACTGCGAATCAGCACAAACATTTCTGCACCCGAGCAGCGAAACACGCTGAGTAAATTGCAAGGCGAATGGGTGTGATGCTCTCAATGTTTAGCTTTGACACTAGAGAAGGCCTATGGATTGGAAAGGCATGTTGGACTTGGATGTGATGTCTTTATCTAACACTTCTGGGATTTCCACCTTGTCAAGAGTCGTTTCAATCAGACAGTTTCATTCATGGGTTGCCCCACTTGTAGTGCCGCAGTGGTTGGTGGAAGCGTGTTGCGCGGCCACACGTATGCGGTTTGAATCCAATCTACTAAGAGCTGCTCCGATTGAAGTCCCACAGCACAAGTTCGGCCACTGGACTGTCAAGAGATTCCAAATGCACTTTAATTTTTGCCATTTAGGAAAAAGGCGACTTTGCAATTCTGGTTTGCAACGTTTTTTGAAATATAGCTATTCATTTTTCCAGCCGGCGTAATCTGTTCATCAACATGAAAACTTCCCTCCTGCCCGCGGCATTTCAGTCAGCTGAAGCCTGCTTTGGGTTCGCCTTATGTCGGGCGACGAGGTCGTCCACTACCTGTCTGGGGTGCCAGGAACAAGCCACTACCAAAAAAGGATCTGCCAAACCGCCAAACCAAACTAAAAATGAAAACGAATCAGAACAGTTTTTTTCTTGACATGGCCCCTAGCAATGCAAAGCTCTGCACCGAAAAAACCCTTCCTGCATTGGAAGTCAGGCGTATCGTCCCTGCAATCTTGGCAAAGACAGCATATGTGTATATTTTTTTGACCAGTCGACTCAGGTTTTCAATCTCAATTCATCCAGTTTGGGAGATAGCTATTCGGACTCATCTAATTTATACCAGTACATCCCAAGTTGCAGATGGGGCAACTCTTCACATCCAAGTCTTGGGACTATCCAACCTCAACCCAAACATGAAGTTGCCGATTTAGCCCTGTCCCCCTTGCCCCACACCTTGACGGTGTGGCTTTTTACGGCTGCCCACAGCAGCTGGTCAACCAGCCTCTGAGCCTCATTGACAGATGGAAAAGCCATGGCTTAGATACGCCGGTCGCTTGTTCGCGCCCAACTGCTAACCAGCCACAGGTCCAGACTCTGAGTTCACGAAGGCTACGGAGAAAAGAAGCGACTCAATCCAACCCACCATGGTTCGAAGTGGTTCGAAGTGGATATCCAAGAATGCAACTTGCACCCTTACAGTTGGGTTCCCGTGCGAAAAACATGTACATGTCATGAATTTGGGTGTCCCCTTGTTCTTGGACTCACCCAAATAACATTTCTCTGGATTGTGCTGTGAAGCACCCCATCCACCCAGAGCCGCTGTCCGGCGATTCTCTTCTTCGCAGGCAAAGTTGGAGCTCAGATCCTTGGAAATGCAGAAAATGATGGACATCATCCTACTAAAATACTAAAATCCGCCCACACCGCTTTGGCGGTGAAGGCGTGCTTATTGGGGGGCAAACAGCTACACTAAATGCTCAATCACATTTGTTAATATAGCAGTCGCTATATCAGCTTTAGCTGGGGGGGGGCCCAAAAACGGTTTGGCACCGAGACCAGAATTCGGTGGTGTTTTCGACATTTTTCGAGGATTTTTGGGTGTCTGAGCGCAAGAGGGTATTGAAATGGAATTTTGGGTCATTTTGGTAGCTTTCCGGCAATGGAAAAAGGGCCAAAAATGAAAAAAACATTGTACATAGCAAGATTTTGCAGGGTTTTTGGATGCCAGAGCATTGAAAACACTGCAAAAACAAGTGTTTTGGACTGACGTTATAGCAAAAAACGTGTAAATTACCGTATGCTTGACTGGAAACATTACAAAAACACTGTCAAAAGCAATGTTTTGGAAGGATTGACTGCCTTTATGGCAAAAAACGTGTAAAGTACCGTCTGTTTGACTGGAAACATTGGAAAAACACTGTCAAAAACAATGTTTTGGAAGGATTTCTTATATATATATATGTTGGAGTTGGCTACCGGCATTGGAACATGGAAAAATTGAAGAAAACACTGTAAATAGCGGTATTTTCAACGGTTGGGGAGATAAGGGAATTGGAAGCATTGTCGAACATGATATTTTCGACCGGTTTTATGGCGACAAAAGTGTAAAGTACCGTGCTTTGAAGGAAACCATTGCAAAAACATGGAAACACATTCAAAGAACACGGCATTTGGGGACTATCTAGGCGTCGTTGTCTAGCTATTTGAAATTCCGCAGCTTGGAGAGTCTCCAAGGGAGGGAAAAGTGAAAATTCCATAGCTTGGGAAGCTGTCACGGCGGGGAAAAGTGAAATGAAAATTCCCTAGCTTGGGAAGCCCCCACGGGGGGGAAAAGTGAAAATTCCCTAGCTTGGGGAGCCCCCACGGGGGGGAAAGTGAAAATTCTTAGCTTGGGAAGCCCCCACGGGGGAAAAGTGAAAATTCCGTCGCTTGGGAAGCCCCCACGGGGGGGAAAAGCGAAAATTCCCTAGCTTGGGGAGCCCCCACGGGGGGGGAAAGTGAAAATTCTTAGCTTGGGAAGCCCCCACGGGGGAAAAGTGAAAATTCCGTCGCTTGGAAAGCTGGGGGAAAAGCGAAAATTCCCTAGCTTGGGAAGCCTCCACAGGGGGGAAAAGTGAAAATTCTCGCCTGGGAAGCCTCTACGGGGGGAAAAAGTGAAAATTGCTTAGCTTGGGAAGCCCCAATTGGAAGCATTGTCGAACATGATATTTTCGACCGGTTTTATGGCGACAAAAGTGTAAAGTACCGTGCTTTGAAGGAAACCATTGCAAAAACATGGAAACACATTCAAAGAACACGGGATTTGGGGGACTATCTAGGCGTCGTTGTCTAGCTATTTGAAATTCCGCAGCTTGTAGAGCCTCCAAGGGAGGGAAAAATGAAAATTCCATAGCTTGGGAAGCTGTCACGGCGGGGAAAAGTGAAATGAACATTCCCTAGCTTGGGAAGCCCCCACAGGGGGGGTGAGGTAGCTTTCCCCTTTTTGGGAGCCCTGGAAACTAATCTACAACACCTGTGGCAAGCAAGAGCGACGGCACTCTTTTTCTATGCTGCGGTTTGCTGCTAGTCTTGAGCCATGCGGAGTGCGCATGAAAGATATGAATTAAGAGTACATGTCAACATGCATGAAAGCATTGTGTAGACACGTAAAACAAAATAAGTAACAAACAGACACAAATTTTCTTCATGTCGGAACATACAAGTCTGTTTCACAGGAAGCGCTCAGCCTGTGATCTGCTGTGAGACGGTCCTAAGACAAAAACAAAACTGTACAATAAACTACTCTCTGCTGTTGGCAAGCGGCCGTAAATGCGGCACAAAAGGCAATAAGAAGGACTCACAGTCCCATAGAGAAGGTATAGCCGTAAAAGCTCATCTCATTTCTTCTTCTCAATTCTCCAGATTGGTGGAAAAAGATCGATTGATCAGGAGTCTGTGGAATCAAATCCAACCAAGAGCCATCACTTTTGAACCCATCTCTGCCGAGGAATGGTGTATCCTGGCACATATTCAACATCAGAGGTGCGTGGATTCACTCTGTAATAGGCTGGTTGATCATAGCTATAACCGTATCCACGGTATCCAGAGGAACTGGAAGCTGCTCCTTGATCTAACCACTGCGTACCCGTCATACGGGATGGAGGTGCAGGAGGCTCAGGCACATTAATTGGTCGTTTTCTGGTGGTGTGCCTCTGTTCTGCTGGCTGCGATCCTTCTCTCCATGGCGGCCGAGCTTTAGGTGGATCTGGTGGAGTGCTTGGTTGTCGTGTTGAACCGGAAGACCGTCCAGGCGGTGGAACCGGTGGTGCCTTAACAGGCGGTTGAACACTTGATGTGGATGTTGGTGCTTGTTTGAGAGAAACCGGAGCTGCCTTGTAGCGAACTGGTTTGGGAGTTGCAGTTGGACCCTGTGGTGGAGTTACAGGTGCTTTTGCAGGCGCAGGAGGTGGCTTTGGTACATCTGCCTTTGGTCTATTGCTCCTAGTCCTGCTGACTGATCTTGATCTAGTCTGTCCCAACTCTCCGGAATGAATCTGTCCGCAAAGGCGGCACACTGTCTCTTCTCTCTTCTCGTTTGTCGAGATATCCTTGATTTCGCTGCATCCATTTCTCACGTCTTTTATCTTCTGATTCTCTGGTTCGGACGCGCATATTTTTCAAGGCCTTTAATTGGGCAAAGGTAAGGAGAGGTGAGTGCCATGCACAGTCTTTCTCTGCCAAACCAAGATCATAAGGTAACAAATGTTTTAACTGTTCAACATCGTTCAACATAATTTCATCGGAAAAAGCTGATCCGGCGAATCCATCCGCAGAGGCGGAATCTTCCTTGGCACGTGCTTCCGTGACAGCGACCTGCTTACCGTAACAAAGAGAAATTAAAAGCATTGAATCACAATCGGCATCTTCTCCTTCCATGCTTCGGATGTAATCAGCTGCAGTGGTCGATGAAACTACGTTATACGTAATACGGTTAATCGGACTGCGGTGAAGGTTGATCTGATGCACGTCCGATAATCGGAATGGTCATCAGACTTGAAACTGCGCTGAGCAAAAAGGTTGCCATCACCAGATAAAAAGTCACATTGGTGCTCGACGCAACTGGCAATAAAACTGAGCCATTTCTGGCATGTCTCCTGATAGGCATTACTCCATGCATATGCTGAGATGTGAAAAACCGCAACGCGGCATTCGGCCAACAAGAGACGTCGTACGTCGTGTGTGTCAGCACCTGGATTCACTTCACAGACTTCAACGCCGGAAACGGCAAGATCATCGTCTCCGTCAATCTCGCAAATGGAGCGATCAAGAAAATCTAACGTTGATGCCAAAGGGCGGTCATGTTGATGAACCATAGACTCCACGTTCTTGTCGATATCCGGTTTCGGAATACGAACACCTGTTGAAGGGTCAACGAATTCACCTGAGGTATTCTGGCCATGGCACAGGCGAAAGATTGCGCCATGCAAGATCCAAAAAGGGCTGGCCTTATTGCCTGTCTCGATCTGGTGGTGCCCAAGAAGTTCTATAAATGTGCCTACGTCGTGATCGCCACGGACAAAAATGGCCAGAGATTGCGATTGGATGGCAGGGTGAACTACCATGCCAATCATGCCGTACTCTTTGGCAATTTCACGATGAAAGGCAATTCCTCCGTATTCGTCGGAAGCTTCACATAAACACACAATATGGGCCGCATTGCGGAACACTAAGTGTGGCAGAGCACGATGATTAATATCAGTTCTGACCTATTTTGGAAATTTTGAACAACCTCCGATATACGGAACACGGTTGATGTGACCAAGATTCAAGGTCAAAATGCCAAGCTGATATGTGTCTTTCTGAAATTCATGAACGTTCTCCTTAGTGCGCTTGACAACACCTTGGACTGCTCTTTTGCCGAGAAGACACGATCTGAAGAGTTCCAATAAACGGAGAATCTCCTCTGTCTCAAGGTCACCGCCGTCAGGGTACTTAAAATAAGCCTCAGGTCTCCAAATCGGAAGCGGCGTCTGATCCTGGGCGTCGATGTAGTGCTCCTGGAGAGTGGGAATTCGAATTCCATCTGGCATTGAATAAATATAACCAGTGTAATCGAATTGCTCGATACCGTGCCTTGCAAAACTCTGCAGGTAGGTATTGCCCAGGGATTGGCCTTCACGCAAATGCGTGATAAGGTCCTGAAATTGATCCTGACGGGTCTGAGCATGTTCGCTACGGGTGGCTCCGAAATACGAAGATTCAGCAAGGACAGCGTCAACCAGTACTCCGATGTCGAAAGGCGACTGGGTTGAGCTGATGCTATCTGGCAAAAATTCAGAGGACAACTCAGAGGAATAATTAACAATACTATGTTTGCAAGCCAAGCCGCAAGTGCGGCATTCCAAGCAGTAGGCAAAGCCACAAGGTGGCACCAAAACATGGCCTCTGCGCAATTACATTCATCAAAGTTCTTACAGCATTGTGGACCCGCTGGGCGGGGAAACCACGGAATTTCATCTGTATCCTTTTTAAATTTTATGAAAAACTTTTGAGCT